AGTTGCCAGCTGACCCGGAGTCGAGAAGGGCGTAGACTGGAATCGAGAGATGGGAAGTAGAAATGGTTACTTGAGTAGTAAGCGGTTTCATACTGCTGGGGAAGCTCTGGATTACACTCACCCATGGACGTGGTGGACGAATGGGGCAGACGGAAATGAGGTGTCCTGCATCGCCACAATACAAACAGAGACCCTGGGTCTTCCTCCTCTGTCGCTCAGAACGTGAAAGACGGGTACTGTCAACTTGCATGGGAACTAGTTCTTGAGAACTGGCTAGTTCGGGTTGACGAGATGGAAGAGGTGAAAACTGACTCTGCATATCTCCTAGGCATGGTTGCATACGACGATCGGTGCGGATGGCCAGATGCATGAACCTTTCCAGACCAATGGCGTCGTCGTAGGCGGCGAGATGTAGTCGTAGCCCTGGATTTAAACCTTGCCGATAGGTAGTAAGGAGCGAACGCTCGTTCTCGTGGATATAATGGAGAGAACGCTGGATAGCTGGTAAGATAGCAACAACGTGAGTCTGTACATCTACAAACGAGACCAGACAAAGTGACTGTGGCTGACGAGTGCTTAAATACATCCTGTGAAGAGTGTCTGATGTCGTGCAGGTGTGTGAATAATTAATACTCAGGTGAAGGTGATCTCTGTGATGATGTGGTGATGGAACCTGGCTGATCTCTGACACAAACAACATGCTATGCCTGTTGACTTTCCCAGATGTGGCAGATTAGATTTGAATAGCTAGTCTGAAAATAAGGCTTTTGCACTTAGTAAACACTGCAAAACGTGGAGACCATAACTATGCATTAAGATGAGTGGACAGAGGCAAATAATGAATGAACACAAAAAGAATGGTTGGATAAATCAAAAAAAAAATTTCGTCGTCAGGTAATAATGTTTTATCTAATAATTTAACCCATTGTACTGTATAAATTGACTGAGGTATGTTCACTGTTGTGTTACCACTATAAAAATAATTATAATAAGTAAATTTATGTAGTGCAAGGTTTATTCAAACAACAAATAAAGGCCTACATAAACTTTTGACATCCTCTTATAGCAGGAAATCATTTTTTTATTTTATTTATTTATTTATTTATTTATTTTACTGTACGGAGCAACGGAGGATATAGATTCTAAAATGATGGGCTATGAAAAACATTTCTTAATATGTCATCATTTGAAAGATATTTCTAATCTATAAATTGCAAAAAACTTGTAATTAACACTTACAATTTAGTTATTATTATATATTTTTGAAATAGTAGTTTTAGCCATTGATTCTCTGGAATATGTTGTATTTCACATTGTTGTGAAAGTCTATAGAGGTATGGAGGTTTAACTGAAATTATATACTTCAAAATGTTGTCCTCCTGGCCAGCAGGCAATATCTGATGACAGTAAGGCAGGCCCTAGTCAGTCAAGTGAGGATCTGCACGAGGGCAGCCACAGTAAAAATATGTTGTTGTTATTTTAGTTTATTTTATTATTATTTTTATTTTTGCACATAGGTTCTTTGCTTTTTTTGTTCATAATGATAGACATTGCGAGATAAGCAAATGTTTAAATAATAAATACTTTGCTGAAGACATGGGTCATGGGTGATTCTTGGAATACTAGTCAAATAACGGTCTGATCATGCATATCTAGTGGTGATCAGTAAGGCCTTTTTTATTTATTTTTTTACCTTTGTTTATTGTTGTAATCCATGATTTAAAATAAGAATCCCCCATTGGCTTTTTAGTCCAAATCATTTGCCCAAATAATGCAAAGTAACTACTTGAGCACTAGTTAAAGCCCAAATTATGTAAAATCACGAATTGAGTTTAAATCATTTGTTGACAGCCTGGTCCTCCCCCCCCCCCCCAGTTTAAAAATCCTATCTGCGCCACTGACTCCATATTCTATAAAAACTGTTGTATCTGTGTTTTCGGAGGGATTCTCAATGGAAATTGACTGAGATCCTCCGCCCTTGCTTCTTCTTGGGAGATTCTCGGAGAACTGCTCGAGAACTCCCGGGCCATAATAAAGACCATTATTAGAGGACAATTGCTGAAGCCTGTCTGTCAGTACACTGTAAAAAAAAATTCTAATTTCACCGAAAATAACTGTGATTTTTGACGACCATTTTCTTTCATTTTAAATTGTACTCAAAACACTGCAAAATTACAAATAATATCTGGAAAATAAAAATGCAGCTGATATTTTAGGTATTGTTACATTAAAGAAAAAATTCCGGTCATTCACATTTTTTTTACACAAATTGATTGTATTTTTCATACAGTATTTTTCTGTTTTCTTAAATTACATAAACATTTATGTAAAAGTAAACATAGAATCTGTAATTAAATGCTAACGAAACAGTTAAATGATTACATGACTGTAGCTCAAAAAACTGTAACATTAAAGTAAAACGTCATAAATTAAATAAACTGAAAAAACACTGTTATTTAAAGGTATTTCCTGCATTATTATGATCAAATACCGTCATTGTAAAAAAATCGTTAAAAAAGGGTCAATTGACTGGCAGCACAGGGTGCCAAACAAAAACCATAAAATTACAGTAAAAATATGTTAATTTAAATAAAAACTTGACATCACCATGATTGAGATCAGTGTTTGCTTTAGTTAAGCTCTTGACCTTTATTATATGTTATTAGTTTTACTCTGGCTGCTTTAATTATGTTTTCAACATACATTTGTTATAGCATTGAAAGCGGGAGAAAATATCAGCTGATGTTGGTCAGTTAGTGGTGATGTTGTAGTTATCATATGGCAAGCTGATTCACTGATATGACAGACAAATACCCGTGTGTCTGTTGTGATTACATTATAAATAGTAGTACTTAAGTTTTAGATTAAATCTAGGATTGTCATATTTTTCCCTATGAACCTTGTTATATTGAAACAATATTAATTAAGTGATTAATTTAGTGATGATTGAACATTATTGAAGACACCTGATGATAACAAGCAAAATCACTGAAGGAGAAAATCACAAATTGCAAGCCACCGTTATGGCGATCAGTGTTTGCTTTAGTTGGGCTCTCGACACTTATACTTTCACTTTAAATTTTGTTTGTCTGCTGTTATTGATTTATAACAGTCAAATGAACAAAGAAAAGTGGGATCTGACAGAGTTGGTTATGTTTTGACATAATCATACTGTGATCTAAATGAAACCTATTCAGATGATCCGGTTTAACTTGTTAGCAACAGTTTAGTGGTTCTGCAGTATATGATAATCTGTATTTTTCTTATAATCCAAAACATGTAATAAAAATTGTTCTGATCAAATCCCTTTATCTTTATTTAGAAACGCAGACATCAATAATCAGCCTGTGTATCTCAACCGTGGTGACAATAATAATCCTTGTTGCCACCAATCACAACTCATTAATGGCTCCCATCATGCATAGACCTGAATTGTCTATGTAATTTACGTTTCCTACTTGAATATTCTACTCGTCACCGTTGTTGAGAAGCATTGACTGAATCTTGAGGTCTGTGTGTGCCTAAAGGAAAGGTTTTTATTTATTTTTTTTAAACAACTTTTGAGAAATCCGTCAATTACATTTAACATTCTGGACATTTATGCAGAATCTCAGTTATACACTAACCAACAGAATAAATTATAGACATAAATATCGAATGATGAATGTCACTATATGATCAACAACATTTTATTATTGTATATTTTTGTTCATCTGACAAATATAACTCAGATGTAAAAGCAAATTAAAATATAAAATCTATATTATAAGGGTCAAGAGCCCAACTAAAGCAAACACTCATCTCCATAACGGTGGCTTACAATTTTAGATTTTCTCCTTGTGATTCTGCTTTAGGTGTCTTCAATGATGCTCAATCATCACTCAGTTAATCACTTAATTATCTCATTAACTTTAACACTCTTGAGTGTGTACTCCTGTATCCCAGGAGTGTTAAATTAACACGGACTGAGTTTTTGCTGTGACGAAGAGCCGTAGTTAGCTGACAAGCTGAGCCATAGTGCATTAAAAATCAGGTGATATCACTAAGCATTCAATTACATGAAAAACATAACCATTAATAAGTGATCAGATCTTCTGAACTGAGATTCTCTTGGACTCCTACCATAACAAATATATATCAATTATGACACTCAGTTAAAGCAGCCAGAGAAATAGTAGTGTTAAAAGCAAAGGGTCAAGAGCCCCACTAAAGCAAACACTGATCTCCATCATGGTGACATCAACATTTATTATTTTACACAAAAAATCAACTTCTAAACATCTGTCTCAGTAAAAAATGTTAGTATGCAATAAATAAAGTCTGGATTGTTTCTGTATGGTGTGTTTTGTGGGTCACCATTGTGTTGAAGAGTAAAGCCTGTGCTTCAGTTCAGGATGAGCAGAGTAACACTGATGAAATGCTGCTTGTTCCTTTATTTAACTGACAGTAACTGTGTAGTTGCTGATGCAGTGATGTATAGTGACAGAAAATCATACATCACCTACATGTTTCTTAATAAAAAATTCAGGAAATATGTGAAATAACTGTGTTTCTGTTAAAGAGCTTAATGAAGATTTATACTTTTGCACTTATTTAAATTAGGCTATTTTACATTCATTTTATGTTTTTTGTATGGCAGCCATTGCTGACAGTCATTGACTGTTTTTTACTATGAAGGTATTTGATGATAATAATGCATTGTTTTTACAGTAAGAGTGTTTGATCGTAATAATCCAGATAATAGCTGTAAAATAACAGTGTTTTTCTGTAAAACAACTTAATTTAAATTAGGATATTTTACTTTATTTTTACGGTATTTATTTGGCACCCTTTGCTGCCAGTTATTTGACCCTTTTTTTACGATTTTATTTTTTACAGTGTATGCAATTCAGAAAGACAAACTCACACATTTGATTAATGACATTTTTTAATGATTAAATTTAATTCATAACATTCAGTTCGAGTCTGGAAAATCATGTCAGATTCTTGAACAAATTGCTTCAAAATATCCAGATCAAATGAAGTATGAGCGAGAGATAAAACATGGAAACAGTTGTGCTGCTGTGTGATGTTTCAGCAGAACTCGCTTGTCCTGTTGGAGAAACAGAGAGACGTCAAATCTACAGTCATTCGAAATTTGCCTGATAAATAACAAAGCTTAAAAAAGTAGTGAAGACGTACCATCAGACTCTTGCTCAGGCAAAGGATCTTCAGTATTAGCTGTACTGGGATTCAGTGATTCAGCATCTGAAAACCATGATGAAAAGAAGTGTGTAGAGGCAGAACAGTGCTTTTCTCAGACATGAATTAAGCTGAAACAATATCTGAAAATTTCAATTCTGAATAATATCTGAAAAAGGCATTACATTGTATATAATAGTTGAATTTATGCTTTCAGTTTGCCTACCTAGTTTGGCAGTTATTGGTTCTTTGATGCTCCTGTGGGACACAAGACAATCATATTCATCTCTTTCCTCCTTCTTGATCTCCACACTCTTCCTCAGCTGATAGGATCCATCATGGTTTGGTCTGACTCCTGAGGATTCAATCTCATCATAACGCAGAGGTGTGTGATATTTCCTAAAGGTCATCATCACGTCTTTGGGGTAGAAGCCGGTGGCCAGACAGGTCAGTATCAGCTTGGTTTCGTCACTGGAAGACCTTATAAACAAATATACATCTGGAGGAACTGAAAACACAGAAATCAGTTTCATTTCCATTTGAAACATGCAGATAATAAACACATTTAAGCCTCATTCATACTGTCAGTTCAAATAGGATTTCTGTGCATATCCGATTGGAATCCGAACACATTTAGTGAATTAAAGGTGCGTTTTGTAATATTCAGAAGGATCTGTTGACAGAAATGCAATATGTTCCTAAATGGATAAACGTGTTTCATTACTATGTCGTTCTCTGTGCAAAGAAGCTGCTAAAGTCAGCGAAATGAACACTCACACAATGATGAATAAAGTAACAATAATATTAACAATAACATATTGTTTCACTGAATAATTAAGTAAACCTAGCATCTTAATGTATCTTTGTAAAGAAACCTCGTTGCTGAACTGGCTACTCTCTACTGTCTCAGACGACGACATCGCTTCCTGTCGGTTCCTGTTGCAATATGCAACCTCACCACTAGATGCCGCTAAAATGATACACTGCACCTTTAAGTGCAGATGCGAGCAGAAAATTACAATATAGTGGTGATATGTTTTGAGTCTGGCCTCCTTCTACCGCTGCCTCAGAAGACACGACATTGTGTCATGTTTTAAATAAGTTTTAATTGCTACTTTGTTGTTTTATATACCTACAGTACCAACACAACATCATTTCCATAGAGAGCAATGCAGATATTACGGAAAACGAAAGAGTGGCATGGACACTTATATCAAAACTGAAGAAACACACATTGTGGACAGTGAATCATTTAAGATCGGATTTCATTCGGATTCACGGACAATCAGATTTGGAATGACAGTGTGAACACATCCAATCTCACGTGCGTTTCTAAACTCGTCTCTATATTCTCTGAATTTGTTGAGCCAGTCCACACACTCTTTCTCCAGGTAACCTTTGATGTATTGGTTTAGGATCGGCACATTGTCCCATTTTGCCTTGGTTGGTCGAGCTGCGTAAACTGGGGCGACCCATTGGGACTCTCTATCATCAAAAGACAGGAAGTTTTCTCCATCGTAGCCGTACTCAGAAACACCTTTGAGAAACTTCACTTCACTTCCCTGCTGCTCAACTTCACAACCGTGTCTCCACTGAAGAACATGAAGATCTGAAATAGAGATGAAGCAAAATGTTAGCAACAATAATACAAAATAATATAATTAATTAATTTAGGTAAGGTTAAACTTGTTCAACGTTCCTCACCTGAATCATTGTGTCTCATGCGCTCCATCAGAATCTTGATATTGACGTTAAACCACTGTTCTTTGCTCTTTCTTGACTGAGTGCCTTTTTCCCAGTAATCCTCCTGCATTTTCTCCTTCATCCAGTCCTGTGTGGGAATCTTTCTCTTGTCTTTACTATTGTAATAGTCGATCTGTGTGTTGTCTAGCAGACCCATAGCAGTGAAGTCATAGATGCCCGGCAGATCCACAGGTTTGGACAAAGCAGTGTAAATGTAATACAGCGAGTGTTTCTCTGTAATGAAGAGGAATAAATTATTTTAATTGAAAGTAATGAAGCTGGTAATGCTGTTTATGCAGTTCTCTGCTGAGATCTTCACAGATTTAATGTCTTCTTTTCTCTTCAGGTGATTTCATCCAAAACTGTGTGTGAAGTCACTTGTAGTTCTTGTGTTTCTGCTCGTCTCTTCTTTCCTTCAGTTATTCTGTTAACAGGCTTATTAAGGTTGAGATGACTCCATGTTTAATATACACTCAGATAAAGTCCAGTTCTGGTTTATTTCTTTGCTCTTGGCTGACATGTGGTTTTGCTATGGCCTGCTTGTGGCCCAGATCTGGCAAACAGGAGTGGGCCACCCAACGGCCGAAGTAATGTTGCTATGTGGGATAGACTTTTAAATAGGCTACCCACTGAGCAAAATGATGTCCAAAAGACGTCTTTTCAACGTCTTTGTCACAAAAGTCGGATGTTGAAAAGACGTCCACTGAGGGGCCAGAATTAAAGTTTTTATGATGTCTTTTTTGACGTGTTCTGGACGTCTGATATAGACTTTCATCGAACCTTCACTGTAAAAAATTTGTTGTAGGATTTACTTGAAAAAACCTTGCTAACAGGGACGTGCACAGGGGGGTTGCTCAGGTTGCCCGGGCAACTGCCCATATGCCCTTCTCGACTCAGGTTGCCCTTCCGAGGAAAAAAAAAATCGTACAATGGATGTAGAATTTCACGTAGGCCTAGACAAAAAAATAATATAAAAATCGCAAAGCCTCATTCACTTCCATTCGGGCACTGAAAGTGAAAGTCAAACTGTTTACGTGGCTGCAGTGCCGCACGCGACCATAGACTGCATGCGACCGGTGTGTATGGTAAGGCACCGCAAATTACTCAGGCCGCGCCTCCATCTCGTGTCGCGCGCTAATTAATGTGTACGAAGTCCATGACAAAATGAAGCGAAACTATCCTTCTCGTCACGAAAAGAGGAAGAAGAAAAACATTAAAGTGAATTGCGGGAACAGCAGTCAGGTAAACTTGTGTTCTCTCCTCTCTAGTGTCAGCAAAGTTTGATGGTTTGTCTGGGCAAGCAGTGCATCTCTTGCATCACTTTTTGCCTGACAAAAGTGAGAGTAAAATACCATTATTTATTACGTTTTGTTTTTTATAAACGACAAAGTGCAACAACAGTGTTTGTTTACTACAGCTCGGAAAACATAACCGCGTCGCGTGTGTTGCGTTCATATGCGCGTGCACGAAATGAAACTCGCATTTTTCAAGCAGAAATGTGGAGACCAGAGAAATACTGTACAATACGTGAATGATGGCACTCCCAATCAAAGTACACATTATAAAGACACTGATCATCTAGTCTCAGTCAGTGTAGTTAAAAACTCTAAACAACTGCACTAATTATGCAAGATATAAACCAATGTATTGGCAATTTGACATTGATTGACTATTGATTTATAGGCTATATTGAATTTAAAATGATGATTAGCTGGACATTCTGGTCAATATGAATGCAAATCCCTCAGTAAATAACAATAAATCAAGATTTGCTTCAACATGCATAAAAATAAATAAATAAATAAAAATCATAGGCTACTGATTCTGAAAATACCCAGGCTGTAGAGTGAATCAAAATTAATCCCAAAAGCCAAAGTTCAGGGTTGTACTTTATTATTTTCTTCTTATTTATGTTTACGTTAATATTCACTTGTTATCTTAACATTCTATAAAAATGCTTTATTCAGTAAATATTGTTTGAACCTCATTCTGTTCTATATTGTTGTACTTATTCTTTAACTGTTTTGTTTAAAGGAGGGAGGATTGTATTGGGCGGTATTGAGTGGCAATGGCAAATGGTTTACATGGCTCACGGCATCACAGATCAGGTAGAGGGCCCCATAGCAGAATTTTGCTTATAGGGCCCCAGGGGGAAGTCAGGATTGGCAAAAAAGGATTGTATTTTTTTCCCGAAATCTAAGCGTTTTTTATTTTTTCGAGTTTTTCCATTCAATCCAGATTATTTCTTTTCAAATAAATAAATAAAAATAATTTATAAAAACAATAAACAACAATATGAGGAACTATTTTGCTCATTTGTCTCATCTCTGACATTTTGCAATCTTTATAAATAATAATAAGACCATAAGATGAGGCATTGCGTTTGGACATAAACACGGCCAGATAAGGCAATTTGGAAGGGGATAAATTCAACTGAATATATTCCTTCATATAGCCCGGGAGGGGGGGGGTGCCCTTTTTTCAGGTCAGAGCAACTGCCCCTCAAAATTCCTGTGCACGTCCCTGCTTGCTAATGTATCTCACTCAGCAAATGCTAGTAAATTTACAAAGATTTGCCAAGTAAAAACCTAAACATATTTATCAGTAGCTTTAATTAGAAATCTTTAAGTTAAATTTACTTGGAATATGGAATTAAGTAAACTTTACAAAAAATAAGTAATTTTAACTCGGCTTGTAAAAGGTTGATTAACACCGATTTCCTTTGCCTTTGTATTACATTTCACTAAAACAATAATCTTGAATTTTATTAGTTATTTATAGTATGTGCTTTACTTAGATCATCTAAGTAATTTATATATACATCATGTCAGATGTTAAGCATCATGTGAATGCAAACACCTCAATATTTGGTAGATAATACACAATGGCGGTAACATTTGATGGGTCGTTTTTGTGTTTGAATGTGTCGTTTTGCGCAAAAAATTTACTAGAAATGTCACAAAATGGCAATTTACTAATACTGACAACAAAAATCAATGATAAAACAGTGTAAATACAGCTGGAAACCAGTGAAAAATTAGCCTCATTAATTATTCAAGGTCCAGTGCATGCCCAGTATCAGAAAAGTTGAGTCATTTTTACTTAATTTTATTGAGTTGATATTTACACTTTCATTTATACTCGCTTGAATTAAGTACTGATATGGAATTTACTTAGTTTTTTAAAATCTTGCCTCAACTAACTTTTTCAAGTAAATTACATTGGGTTTTCTCACTAGTATTTACTTCACCAAAAAATCATTTTTTACAGTGTTCGTACAAGGTTAAAAACTAGTTCAAATGTGGCCATTGTGGACATGTTTTCAACCAGTGTTGCCAACTATTTTCAAATGAAAGTAGCTAACGCCTTCCCTAAAAGTCGCTAAATGTCGCTAGATTACGTCATACGTTAGCATATTTGTGGCGTCATCGCGTCGTACTTGCGTTCCGCTTGTCTAATGTTTTCTCTATAAAGTAATGCTCAGCTCACATATTGTATTTAATATATTATAATAAAATATAGCCGAATGTAAAATAAAGCTGTTCTCATTTCCTATATATTTTTTTGTCACACAGAACGAGTTGATATAGGCCTAGTGAATGACAAAAAAAGTAATACTGTAAGCACAAGAAAAGAAAGGAAACTAAATTGTTAAAATAAAAAACAATATTATTTAAAGACAGCGGATAAGTGTGGCCGTGAGTTCAACAGATCTGCTGTTCCTCTCAGCCATTCACTAAACAGGGTAGACGTAGAGTGAGTGACAGCAGGGAGAAAGCAAAAAGTCGGGGTCTGAAAAGTCGCTAAAAATAGCGACTCATTTGCGCGATTGTTTTGCAGTTTGTACGCGGATGAGAACATCTCCTGCTGGGAGGGGCCGCTGCGCGAGGACTGGGCCACCTGTGAGTGATTTGGGCCGGGGTGGGACCCACGCAGCACCCGCTGCTCGTTGAGATGAGGAAAAACGATATGTGATTTCATGTCAGAGAGTCTCCGAAAGTCTCTAATAACACCAGAAAAAGTCGTTAGATTTGTCGCTAGTCGCTTTTTTGAAAATTTGTCGCTAGAGGGGTCTGAATACTCGCTAAATATAGCGCAAAATCGCTAAGTTGGCAACACTGTTTTCAACATCATTTATGGTCTCATTTAGACAATTTAAACTGTTTCTGGACCAATTAAACACTCTCAGGATGCATTAAATTAAAACTCATGTTTATTTCAATGTAATTTCCTTAAATTGTTTAGAAGAGGCTTAGAAGTTATTTGTTTAACTCACCATTGTGGTGATCAGTGTTTGCTTTAGTTGGGCTCTTGGTCCCAGATCACCTTACTTTAGCTTTTCTTTGGCTGTTGTAACTGTGTGTGTGTTTAACACCATTGTTGTGACGGAGAAAGCCAAGAAAAAGTCAAATCAGCTCTCATCAGCTCCTTATTGATGATGATATTGTCAGCCCAAAGTGAATATTTAACATTGTGTTTATACTTTTGTCTAGCAATTATAATCATCGATCTTGTGGAACTGCATTGTCTGGGGCATTGCATAAAAATGATCACTTATTTGAAGGTGAATAAAAAACATATCACATAGTCACACACAAACATAAAGATTTTGGATATGAGTCTCAACAATGGTGACAACCAAAACAAAAAAGCTTGGGAATCGAGGATGTTTTGGACTGCGAAACCCACCCATCATGCATTGCAGCATGAAGCTTTTTTTATTGTCACCATTGTTGTGATACATATACAAAATCTTGATGTCTGTGTGTGACTATATGCGGCATTTTCTCAAAACATAGTGTAAACATGCTTTTATTTCCCTTCAAATAAGTGATCATTTTAATGCTTATAGCCCAAACAATGCAGTTCCACAAGATTGATGGTTATTAATGCCAAGAAAAAAGACAAAAGTCTAAACGCAACCATAAATGCTTGCTTTGTTTGATTCTGTCATTATCAACAAGAAGCTGATGACAGCCAATCATACTTGTTCTTGGTTTTCCCTGCCATAAACATTATATTTTACAAATACACAGTTACAACAGCCAAAAAAAAGCTAAAGTAAACTAAAGCAAACGCCGATCACCACAATGGTGATTTAAAATGAAATGAATAACTTCCAAGCCTCATCTAAACAATGTAAGGAAATTACATCTTGAGAATGCATCCTGAGAGTGTTTATTTGGTCCAGAAACAGTATAAATTGTCTAAATGAGACCATAAAAGATGTTGAAAACATGTCCACAATGGCCACATTTGAACTAGTTTTTAAACTTGCACGAAGGTTCGATGAACGTCTATATCGGACGTGCAGAACGCGTCAAAAAAAAAGACGTCATAAAAACTTTAATTCTGGCTCCTCAGTGGACGTCTTTTCAACATCCGACTTTCGTGACAAAAGCGTTGAAAAGACGTCTTTTGGACATCATTGTGTTTAGTGCGGTTAATACAAGTAGAATTGTGAAAATAAAGTATTTTTGTATCCAGATTTACACCACTTGTCCTGTGATAGCGAACCTGGGTGTTCTTGTGAAACTTCCCCATTCACTGAAACGAGGTGGCGTAGTCTGCTTATTTTATTTGGTTATACTTTGCCCAACCCCTACCACATATACATACATAAAAATCCTGGGTTAAAATAACAAATGTTGGGTTAAATATGGACAAACCCAGTGATTGGGTTGTTTTTTTTTAACCAACCTGCTGGGTAACTCAAATATTGTTTAAAAATAACTATATTGCTTGATTAAAATGAACCAAAATGGACATTTAATGTTTAATAGATAACGTTTATTAATACATTTAATAAATAATGGTCAAACGGTGAACATTTATTAAATTGCATTTCACTTTTTGATTATCATTGTTCCCTTGTGCCTTGTGTTATAGAGAGGGTAAAGAACCGTTAAGAGGAAGACATTTTGAGAGGACAATGTGAATGCTCTTGGATTTACACTTCAAATAGTTCATCGCCATTTGTATTGAATGAGAAGTTCGATATTTTTAATGTATTTTGATATGTCTAGATATTGATCGTTAAAATGGATTCTGTTACAGTTTAACAGAGTTGAGGTATTTGTCTCCCTGTGAGGGTATATCTTGACAAGTGATTGAGAGTACACCTAATTAAGGTGTCCATAAAGATTTGCATTCCACTTCACAAAGTTTGTGCCTGATGATGACACTGATGGTCGAAATGTACAAGGTTATAATAATAATAATAATAATAATTACCTGCTTGAAATGAAGGCAAAGTCCCATAAAGAAGAAAGACAAAAAGGAGATCTTCAAAGATCTTCATCGCAGCGCTCGTGATCATGACTGAAAGCCTAACGTTTACTATTTCATGGTTATACATGCCCGGAAATCTAACCTATAAAGGTTTTAAAAGCGAGAAGCACATTTCCTGAAATCTGGTCTGAGAAAGACATGCGCACTGAAGTGATGGTTAAATCTTGTGGAGAGCAATAAAGACCACACAGCCAGTGAGAAAAAACACACTGAAGTTTGCAAATGCTGTGTGAAAGTGCACTCAAATATCACAGTACAAAAAAACACACACTTCACACTACAGCTGTTTACTGCAATAAAGAAAGGTTGTACCGAACAGCTATAGGGGCCTAAACAATAATTTCACTGAATACGTTTGAGTTTTCTGATGGCATTAAATAATGTAAATCTGTCTGTGTGGCTTTTCTACTCCACATTTCACGTAACAACAGTTTTGAGCTAATTTACTCATCTATTGTATTCGTTAGCCACCTCATACATTTATAAGATTTTCTAACAAACTATTTGTATTGTGATGCTTCAAAACTGGCTGCACGGCTGAGTCCTGTGAAGCAAGTGCTCATGTGTGGCAGTCACTGCTTTGTGCAACCATGTAACTTTTTCAAAGTGCTCATACACAGCAAAATCCTCAGTGTTAAATTGACACTTAAAAGTGTGAATTATATAAACTCTGAGCAGAGTGTTGAATTAACACTGAAGCAGTGTTAAAGTTAATGAGATAATTAAGTGAATAATTGAGTGATGATTGAGCACTATTAAAGACACCTGATGATAACAAGCAGAATCACTGAAGGAGAAAACCGGTATTTTAAGTCACCATTGTGGTGATCAGTGTTTGCTTTAGTTGGACTCTTGACCCTTAATTCATCAACTTTACATTTTTTTTTTTGAATGAATGAATGAATGAAAATAAACATTATATTAAAATTCAACTTCGGAAATCATTGAAACTGATTAACAGACTGCTATAAACTAGAATAGTAAAGTGTGGGAGCTCACTTCATCATTATCATCATCAACATGCAGCCGGACACAATGAACCATGATTAGATGTGTTGAACAGTGCTGATACCGTACTTCAAATAATAGCCGAGTCCCTGTCTCTTTTACACGTCTGGTGTGTCTGCAGGTTTCGGTAAATAAAAGCCGGTCTCAAATAGAGAACGGGTCTGTTTTTTAGTTTCGGGTTGTTAATCTTCTAAAACCCATCAGATCGTCTGCTTTTTGGCGGCCGCCAAAACTAATTTTTGTCCCGCCAAAGCCTATTTTGATCGGTGAGTGATGTAGAATAAAATGAATGCTGCGCTTGACAGGGCGCATAATGAGCAGAGAGAGAGAGCGAGCGAGCAAGAGAGAGAGAGAGAGAGAGAGAGAGAGAGAGAGAGAGAGAGAGAGAGAGAGAGACCCGGCCACGCACGCGCACTCTCACGTCTTCAAACAACACGAGCGCTTTCTCCCTCGCGCATATTAATCAATTGACACGATAGTAAAAGGTTGGAAGACCGCAGTTTCACGTGGAGCATTTGGAGATTTTTAGAGATTAGAGACTCAATGAACAACATCTCAACACTAAATTATAAAGTGCTGTCTCATATAGACGCCTAAAGTGAGTGAAAGCAGTAGTGAAAGTAGGAGGGAGCTAAGCCAGTGGTCAATTTGTAAGTGAGGGTCCTTGAGCTTGATGCGAGCAGTGATTGGTAGCCAGTAGGGCTGGGACAATAAATTGATGCATTGCGATTCGTGGATCGATTCCAATTTTTCCCGAATGCATTGTGTTTGGTGTTTCTCTCTCGAATCGATCCTGAGCTTTGTTTTTAACAGCAGATGGCGCTCTAGGCTAGTTTTTAACCGCATACTACTCAAATGCTCACAAAGAAGAGCGCTCGTGCAATCGGCTGAGTCCGATAATGTGCACCTCTGAATTCTTTTATGCCCACTGCAAACACCCCTATAATTCACTTCAACCTTTTCAAACTCTATGAATGATTATTTCATAGAAGGTTTAAGTGGTGTGTAAGGCATTGGAAGCCAGCAGAGTATGGCTGTTTTTAAAGCATGCAGTGCCCTCTGCTGTTAAAAACTGTTAATGAATCGATTCGAGACTAGAGAATCCCGATGCATTCGGAAAAAAATCGGAATCGATACACGATACACCGATTTATTGTGCAGCCTAGTAGCAGAGAGATGAACAGAAGAGTGACGTGGGCCCTTTTGGGCTCATTGAAGACAAGGCAGGCTGCAGAATTCTGGATCATTTGTAGAGGTTTAGTTGCACATGATGGAAGTCCAGCCAGAAGAGCATTGCCGTAATCAAGTTTCGATGGGTAAAAGTTTTAAAAACGTAAAATCGTTTTTTTTTTCCTTTTTTTTTTGTCTACTAATAAGTCACAGCATAATTTACAAGGACAATAACAACATCATCTTATGAAATGAAATTATTTTGACATGTATTAAATAATAAATCATGCATTTTGTGATCATTTATGAGAGATTATTTGATGGTTCGCTGGAGAGCTCAGTCGAGTGATGGTGAGATAACAGTAATAGTACTAGTTCATTAGAAACATTGAGACAAGCAATGATCATATCAAACAGGACTGAATGGTGGAGTCGGTGTCTACATCATTATTTCTGTCGCACTTCCTCATCCTGATGCCTGGTCTTAGTAAATGTGTTCATGTTTTCAAAAAGCTTTAACAATCATGCTTGATCACGTGCGTTTATTCTTCTCAGTGGCAGACAGTCTTTTGAGTGTATTTTCACACACAGTGTGGAAACATGGCTGTGTTTGTTTACTCTTTAAGATAAATTCGGCTGATCTGTCATTTCAAGTTTATCACTTTGCTCAAAGACACTTTTCATGAGAAGTGAGCATGAACAAATGCAATTGTAATTTTTCTTTCTTTAACACTCATCCGTTGAATCATGTTTGAATCTCTTTGTATATGATCTCTGCATTCAAATCTTTAAATTACAGTTTATTCATTGGCTGAGAATCAAACCCATGAAGACTTCAGAGTTGCTTTATGATGTTAAGTTAATATAATGTATCTTATCTAATCCAGCAGGTGGCGTGTGAGTTATGTGAAATCTCTCTCTCTCTCTCTCTCTCTCTCTCTCTGTGTGTGTGTGTGTGTGTGTGTGTGTGTGTGTGTGTGTGTGTGTGTGTGTGTGTGTGTGTGTGTGTGTGTCGCGCATGCGCACTGCTGCCCTCTCGGGTTGTGCGCTCGTCTACCACAACCTGAAAGGAAATGTTTATTTTCAGACTACAGGCTCGTGCAGCAGGAGTGTGTTTGCGTTTGTAGATTGTTTTGTTTAGACGTGTTGTGGTGAAGTGTTTCTTTAGAAGTATTTCATGAATTCATCTGTCGGATTTACAGCGCAAGTTTTTGGATGTTTACTTCAGTTTGATCTAATCACCGTTAACCCGGAGCGATCGACACTGAAAACAGAAACGCGACTCCTGAACGTGTCTGATCTCTGATGGAGTTGTTTACTTCAATAAAAAAGTTTTTGCAGATGTGTAAAGGGACCGGATCTGGAATGTAAACCCGAGACCGGTGAACACATGATTCCTATTTTGATCGGTGTATTCTTGTGTGAAGAGCGCGTCCCCGCGTCAATGATGATGCTTTACCCGGAGAGACTGAAGTAAAGAAGTGTGTTTCCCGGTCATGTGTTCAGTGAGAGCTCTCCAGGACTGGTGTCGAGATGTTTGTGAAGTTTATTCAGATGTTCAGATCACAGATATGAGCTCTTCATTCACAGATGGACTGGCTTTCTGTGCGATCATCCATAAGCACAGACCCGATATACTGTAAGAAGCGAGTTTATTATTTTGATCTACGTAAGAAGCATGCGTGTATGATCTACTGTAAGAATAAACACTGATTCATCGAGTCATGACTTTTTAATATGATCATCTGTAGACTAGGCAATAAATTAGCCAGTTAATAAAAATATTGGACAAAACTAGTTCAATATAATGGTTCAATAAACATGTAGTAAATTATGGTCAAAGGTAGTTTTTCAGTGCCATAATCTGATAATAATAAGAATATAAGTGCTTTTATGAATATTTGTGTGTTTACCATGATATTCTATGGTAACTTGAAAAAAATTGCTCTAAACAAAAAACTCCCAGTTTGAAAACTCTTGCTCTAGATTATTTAAATGCATTTTTAGTAACATCTTGTGTGTGTTTCTTCTCACGTCCACGTGTGTATCTGATGAATCTTCATCTTTCGGTTTGTTTCTCTCTGCAGAAATTTCCACTCTCTGTCCAAACACAACGTCTACGAGAACCTGCGTCTGGTGAGTTTCTGTTGAGATCAGCTGGACTTTAGTTTCTGTAGCTGAAGATGTTGAAGCTTCACATGTGAGATGACAGAGGAATAAGCTCAAAGAAAGAACTTAATCCGAATTGACAATAATCTCAGATTCAGTTCAGGTTTTTGCTCCCTGAGGAATAAACTCCCTGTGATCATTTTACCTGATCATTGCACCTGTGATCTTTGCACCTGTGGTGAATGTTGTAGTTTAGTAGTTTGTCCATTTCATGTCCTTTATTTCTCTCCATCATCAGGCGTTTGTGGTTGCGGAGCGAGAGCTGGGAATTCCTGCTCTGCTGGATCCGGATGAGCTGATGTGTGTGGAAGAGCCGGATCTTCTGTCCATCATCACTTACGTCTCACAGCTCTACTGTGTCTTCAATGGAAAACCTCTCGGTACGGATCATGAGAAACTGTAAACTAATGAGGATCTCACATGTTCATCATGATTCAGTAGAGTTGACATTGATTGATAATCTCTGGATCTGATCAGATAGTCAGACGATTCCTGTGAAGGCTGAACCTTGCAGAACCATAAGACAAGAACAGACTCACACTCAGGTATCTGTCAGTCTGTCTGTCTCTCTGTCTCTCTCTGACTGACTGTCCCTGTCTCCCCCTGTCTGTCTGTCCCTCTGTCTGTCTGTCTGTCTGACTGTCTGTCCCTCTGTCTGTCCGTCTGTCTCTCAATTTGAATGTCTGCCTGTCTGTCCCTCTGTCAGTCCCTCTATCTGTCTGTCTGTCTGTCCCTCTGTCTCTCTCTGACTGACTGTCCCTGTCTCCCCCTGTCTGTCTGTCCCTCTGTCTCTCTCTGACTGTCCCTGTCTCCCCCTGTCTGTCTGTCCCTCTGTCTGTCTGTCTGTCTGTCTGTCCCTCTGTATGTCTGTCTGTCCCTCTGTCTGTCTGTCTGTCTGTCTGTCTGACTGTCTGTCCCTCTGTATGTCTGTCTGTCTCTCTCTGTCTGTCACTCTGTCTGTCTGCCTCTCTCTGTCTGTCTGTCTGTCCCTCTGTCTCTCTGTCTGTCTGTCTGTCTGTCTGTCTGTCTGTCCCTCTGTTTGTTAGTCTGTCTGTATGTCCCTGTCTCTCTCTCTCTCTCTCTCTGTCTGTCTGTCTGTCTGTCTGTCCCTCTGTCTTTCTGTCCCTCTGTCTGTATGTCCCTTTATCTGTCTGTCCCTTTGTCTCTTTGTCTGTCTCTCTGTCTGTCCCTCTGTCCCTCTGTCTGTCTGTCTGTCTGTTCCTCTCTCTGTCTGTCCGTCTGTCTGTCTGTCTGCCCCTCCGTCTGTCTGTCTGTCTGTCTGTCTGTCTGTCCCTCTATCTGTATGTCCTTTTGACTGCCTGTCTCCCTGCCTGCTCCTCTGTCTGTCTGTCTGTCTGTCCCTCTGTCTGTATGTCCCTTTGACTGTCTGTCTGTCTGCCTGTTCCTCTGTCTGTCTGTCTGTCTACCCCTCTGTCTGTATTTCCCTCTGTCTGACTGTCTGTCTGTCCCTCTGTCTGTCCGTCTGTCTCTCAATTTGAATGTCTGCCTGTCTGTCCCTCTGTCAGTCCCTCTATCTGTCTGTCTGTCTGTCCGTCTGTCTGTCCCTCCGTCTGTCCGTCTGTCTGTCTGTCCCTCTGTCTGTCCGTCTATCTGTCTGTTCCTCTGTGTGTCATTCTATCTGTCTGTCTGTCTGTTTGTTCCTCTATCTCTTTTGTCTCTCAATCTGTCTGTCTTTCCCTCTGTCTTTGTCGCTCGTTCTGTCTGTCTGTCATTCATCTCTCTGCTCTCTTCTCTCAGTTCTCATCAGATGGGATTAGATCTTCAGATAAAAGTGTCTGTAGTGTCTGTCACACACGTGTTCATCTCATTCAGAGGGTTTTTGTGAAGGGACACTTGTATCACCGCTCCTGCTTCAGGTAAAACACACACACACACACACGTTCACACACACTCACTCACACACACACTGATGTCCTGATTGTCTCATGGTGTGTTTCAGATGCAGTCGCTGCCGTCGGTCTCTGCTACCGATGTCTTTCACAGAAGACAGTGAGACAGGTTTACTGCAGTGCAGTTATCAGTGCAAACCTGTTCCTGAACACGACCGGCCCACAGAGAGAGACAGAGACAGAAGTGAGACAAACAGAGAAAGAAGTGAGACGGACAGAGACAGAAGTGAGACGAACAGAGAGCGAAGTGAGACGAACAGAGACCGAAGTGAGACAGACAGAGACAGAAGTGAGATGAACAGAGACCGAAGTGAGACAGACAGAGACAGAAGTGAGACGAACAGAGACCGAAGTGCGACAGACAGAGACAGAAGTGAGATGAACAGAGACCGAAGTGAGACGAACAGAGACCGAAGTGAGACGAACAGAGACCGAAGTGAGATGAACAGAGACCAAAGTGAGACGAACAGAGACAGAAGTGAGATGAACAGAGACCGAAGTGAGACGAACAGAGACCGAAGTGAGACAGACAGAGACAGACGTGAGACGAACAGAGACCGAAGTGAGACAGAAGGAGACAGACGTGAGACGAACAGAGACCGAAGTGAGACGAACAGAGACAGAAGTGAGACAGACAGAGACAGAAGTGAGATGAACAGAGACCGAAGTGAGACGAACAGAGACCGAAGTGAGACAGACAGAGACAGACGTGAGACGAACAGAGACCGAAGTGAGACAGAAGGAGACAGTGAGATGGATGGAGACGTGATCAGTGAACATCTCTCCACATCATCGGAGATTGACAAACAAGAACCTCCCAAACCTGCTCCCAGAAAGAGGGTGGAGCCTCAGGAACCTGCTTGCCCCGCCTCCAAATCACAGGACCGTCAACCTGACAAAGGTTAGAATCTTCACTCCGGTGTTACTCTATAAAGTTACTATTGTTAACATCATAAACAACAGTTCGAGGTCTACATTCTGATTGAATGAGACAAAACAACTTACTCATTTCCAAGCTTTTGGAGGGCGCATAAGTCTGAATCAGCGAGTTTAGCTGTAGAGGTGCAGAGACAGTGGTCGCCTTGTAGGCAAACATCAGTGCCTTGAATTTGATGCGAGCAGCTATTGGCAGCCAGTGCAAACTGATGAAGAGAGCCGTGCGTCTCTTCGGCTCGTTAAAGACCACCCTCGCTGCTGCATTCTGGATCAGTTGCAAAGGCTTGATAGTACATGCAAGAGAGCATTAAAATAGTCCAGTCTGGAGAGAACAAGAGTTTGGACAAGGAGTTGTGTAGTTTTGATAGGAAGGGTGTAATCGTCTTAATGTTGTATAAAGCAAATCTGCAGGACTGGGGCATTGCAGTAATGTGGTCTGTGAAGCTTAACTGATCATCAATCACAACTCCAAGACTCCTGGCTGTCCTGGAAGGAGTTATGGATGACGAACCCAGCTGAATGGAGAAGTTGTGGTGTAGTGTTGGATCAGCTGAGACCACAAGCAGCTGTCTTAGCAAGGTTGATGTGAAGGTCCTTCATCCAACAAGAAATGTCTGTCAGGCAGGCTGAGATGCGAACAGGTACCGTCGGATCATCAGGTTGGAATGAGAACTAGAGTTGTGTGTCATCAGCATAGCAGTGATCCTAGGTAGGACATGTAGATTGAGAAGAGAAGTGGTCCCAGTACTGAGCCCTGAGGCACCCCATTAGCAAGAAGTTGTGACTTAGCCACCTCACCCTTCCAAGATGCCTCGAAGGACCTACCTGAGAGAGGTAACACTTGAACCTCTGGACTGCCTGTAAATCCTCATGAAGATGGGTGTCACAGGAACTGAGACTGCTGCCTTTAACTGAACGAGAACTGAGGATAGCTAGTCTCAGTTCTTCAGTTACTGAGAGCAGGGCAGTTTCACTTGAGTGTCCGCTTTTGAAACCAGATCGGTTGTTGTCCCGGATGATGTTCTGTGCGAGAAACATGGAGAGTTGGTCAAACACAACTTGGTCAAGTGTCTTTACAATAAAGCAACATGACATCATGACTTTTGCTTAAACATATACGCCACTTTCGAGTCAGGTGGCGTGTTATCTCTACGCATTTTGAGCTATCCGCGTGTATCCGCGTGTATGCGTATATGTCTACGCCATTAATGTCCGCGTCATTCCGCGTGTCCGAACACGACGTCAAATCTCCAGTCATAAATGCCATTAACTCCAGTGACGGTTAAGTTTAGGGATGGGTTTGAGGTAAGTCATCTTTTTTTTTACCTAGGATGGTAAGAGAACAGTCATAAATGCCATTAACCCCAGTGACGGTTAAGTTTAGGGATGGGGTTGAGGTAAGTCATATCTTTTTTTTTTCCTAGGATGGTAAGGGAACAGTCATAAATGCCATTAACCCCAGTGACGGTTAGGTTTAGGGACGGGGTTGAGGTAAGTCATATATTTATATAACGTTAAGTCAACGGCGTTCATAAACACGCTGAAAGGCGATTATGCGTCATGATAGCACGCCAAAAATGGAAATACGAATTGGCGTGTCATACACACGCTACTTCATGAGATCAGTCTGAATAAAGGGAATAAGGGATATTGGTGTGTAGTTTTCTAAAAGTGATTTAGAGTGGGTTTCTTACGCAGTGGGGTTACCCGAACTTGCTTTAATGCTGTGTGAAGAGAAGTGTTAATAATGTGAGTAAGTGCAGGTGTAACTGATGTGATTGGGGATTGGATCAAGCGGACGGGTAGTGGGATGATTGGAACGGATACGTTTGGAAATGTCTGCTTCTGAAAGTGGAGAGAGGGAGGAGAGAGTGTGCATTTGTTAGGATGTTTTAGTCAGTTTGTGATGTGGAGAATTGGCCGCTGATGGTTGTTGTCTTGTTTATGAAGAATCTTGCGAAGTCGTCAGCTGTAAGAGTCGATGAAGGAGGACAAAGAAGAGAAGGTTTTGAAAAGAGAGTCAGAACAATTGTTATTTTTGTTGTGGTATAGTATTGTTTTAGCAGTGGAGGGAGAGACTGACACAAACTAAGGTCAGAAGAGTTTTTTTATTCTAGAGAGTCTAGAGAGATGTTCACAAAACTGGCCCGGATGAAACGATCTTAAAGTGGAGCAAAAGAGTGTTTAGTGTCCAGTGCTGAAAACTGAACGGGTGGAGGATGTGTAGATGAAACCGTAGAGGATAGGCGAGAGAGTGAGCGTAGGTTACGCCGAAAGGTGACATGCGGAGGAGTGTGTGTTGTGTCAAAAAAACTCAATTTTAATAGATTTTCTCATAATAGAGTTATTTATATATATATTAGGGCTGTGCAAAAGTTAATTGCGATTAATCGCGTCCAAAATAAAAGTCTGTGTTTACATACGTAGTATATTAGTGTGTGCTGTATGTAATTATTTTGTATATATAAATACACACTCATGCATGTATATGTTTAAGAAAATGTGTTATTCCTATATAAAATATTTATATTTATATAATATAGATTATATATTTATATATATATACAGAATTTAAGCGCAAATAATTCTTAAATATATACATGCATGCATAGGTATTTATATATACAAAATAATTATATACAGCACACTCAAATATATTATGTAAAACAGACTTTTATTTTGGATGCGATTAATCGCAATTAACTTTTGCACAGCCCTAATATATATATTTATATATTACGGTTTCATATACTTAATCTTAAATAGGTCATTATTACAGTGACGGTTCAGCTTGATGTTTTAAATGCATGTTTCTTTGTGTCTCATGTGTTTGTCTCGTCTCAGTCTCGTATCAGCGAGTCGTCCGTAAGGATCATCCCTGGAGGAAGATTGTTGAACCGGGTCCCTGGTATCGTCTTCCTCCGACTCAGTCCGCTCACTCCCGCCACTGCCCCGCGACCTTTAACCCCTTCCTGGAGGACGATGAGGACAAGTCAAAGGATGAAGAGGTACTGAATGAAGATCAGATTCAGAGGCCTGCTGGTCCTCATAAAACTGCATTAATAAGTCTGTTTATCCTCAATTCTACAAGATTCAACATTCACATTCTCAGAATAAACTTTAAATAAACGTTAAATAAGTAAGGATAAAACACAAGGAAGAACTAGTCTGTAAACCTGAGGTAGTTTCTGAAACACAAGTCCCAGATTATATTTAGACTCTAGTTTGGACGAGTCTTGTGTTCTGGGAATAGAGCTACTGGTGTTAGCGGAGACGCTCAGTATCAGGTTTATCACACACTGGTTCTGATTCAGCACAAACACAAGAAGCTTGACTGAACAAATCATTTGCTCTTAGATAGTGCAGAAAGTGTCTCAAATTCTGATTGATTTTTCAAGTGTATTAAAGAGCCTCAAACTTCACCCAATTCTTCATCCAGTCATATTGGGATCAGAGCTCAGATTCAGACCAATAACCTGGATCTCCATTTTAATGAACAAGACTGTGCATTCATTTCATTTTCAGAGTCATGTGATTTCTGTATAACCTGTTTGAAGTGATTAAAACCTTGAATTGGTTAGTTGGTGTGTGTGTGTGTGTGAGCAGAATCACATGATCAGACGTCTGACGCTCAGACTGAAGAGTCACAGGTTGTGGTTGTGGGTTGTTGTTCTCTTTGCAGTCTAATGAGATGTGCGTGTGTTTTCACATCAGACCGTCTATGTTTTTCTCTTTATCAAGCAAAACCCTTTAGGTTTCAAAACTTCCGTTGCACACAAACCACAAGCCTCATCTTCGGTTCCCAGCATGCATCAGGATGCAGCTCCTGCCCACGGTTTCCCACTCATCAAGAGGAAGGTGAGACAGAAACTGTGTTTGTTTTTCTGTTAGAGTAAATAATGCTTCCTTCACTGCAAACTACAAACTCACTGTACAAGAAAGAGAACTGAGAAAAAGACTTTAGTTCAGCAGGTCTTTTGTGGTTTCACATGCTTATATTTTATATTGAGATTTGTTACAAACCTACTGAGGCGTATTGCATTCACTTGAAGAAAAAAAATCTACTCTGTTTTTCTGAATTAACAAGTTAATTATCTCAGAATTACGAGATAATTTTTCAAGGAAAAAAGTTTTGGCTCTGTTTTTCTGAATTAACGAGTTAATTTTTCATGAGAAAAAAGTTTTTGCTCCGTTTTTCTAAATTAACTCGTAAATTCAGAAAAACAGAGCAAAAACTTCTTTCTCGTAAATTCAGAAAAACAGAGCAAAAAAAAAAAATCCATGAAAAATTAACTTGTTAATTCAGAAAAACAGAGCAAAAACGTTTTTTTCTCATGAAAAATTAACTCGTTAATTCAGAAAAACAGCAAAAACATTTTTTCTCATGAAAAATTAACTCGTTAATTCAGAAAAACGGAGCAAATATTTTTTTCTCATGAAAAATTAACTGGTTAATTCAGAAAAACAGAGCAAAAACTTTTTTTCTCATGAAAAATTAACTCGTTAATTCAGAAAAACAGAGCAAAACTTTTTTTTCTCATGAAAAATTAACTCGTTAATTCAGAAAAACAGAGCAAAAACTTTTTTTCTCATGAAAAATTAACTCATTAATTCAGAAAAACAGAGCAAAACTTTTTTTTCTCATGAAAAATTAACTCATTAATTCAGAAAAACAGAGCAAAAACTTTTTTTCTCATGAAAATTAACTCGTTAATTCAGAAAAACAGAGCAAAAACTTTTTTCTCATGAAAAATTTACTCGTTAATTCAGAAAAACAGCAAACATTTTTTTCTCATGAAAAATTTACTCGTTAATTCAGAAAAACAGAGCAAAAACTTTTTTTCTCATGAAAAATTAACTCATTAATTCAGAAAAACAGAGCAAAACTTTTTTTCTCATGAAAAATTAACTCATTAATTCAGAAAAACAGAGCAAAACTTTTTTTTCTCATGAAAAATTAACTCGTTAATTCAGAAAAACAGAGCAAAAACTTTTTTTCTCATGAAAAATTAACTCGTTAATTCAGAAAAACAGAGCAAAACTTTTTTTCTCATGAAAAATGTACTTGTTAAATCAGAAAAACAGAGCAAAACTTTTTTTTCTCATGAAAAATTAACTCGTTAATTCAGAAAAACAGAGCAAAACTTTTTTTCTCATGAAAAATCAACTCGTTAATTCAGAAAAACAGAGCAAAAGCTTTTTCCATGAAAAATGATCTCGTAATTCTGAGATAATTAACTTAATTCAGAAAAACAGAGTAGATTTTTTTTCTTCAAGTGAATGCAATACAATACGCCTCCGTACAAACCTGTAGTGAATGTGAGTGTTTTAATTCAGTTGAATGCATTTTTTTTAGATGTAAAACTATATGTCCAAACCTTAAATGATTTTGACATTAACACATATTAATAATGTACAAATCCAACACAGGATCATAAACACAACATTCCCAAGTCACCTTTATTTCTATAGCGCTTTATACAATACAGATTGTTTCAAAGCAGCTTTACAGTGATAACAGGAAAATAATTCAGTGATGCAAACTGAGTTTCGGCCGTACTGCAGATCTAAAACAATATAGTTCAATGTTGATTCAGTTCTGTTGTAAAAATCATTGATTATTTTAGGATTGAGTCGTCTTTTCTGTCTCACCATCAAATGTTCTCTGACTGAAGGATGATTGATTGTGTGTTCAGGTGAGCACAGACACACTCGTGTCAGAGAAGGAGGTGTGTAAGGAGCAGAAGGAGCTGCAGGAGCATCTGCTGAAGCTGGAGAAGAGAGGAGTGCAGATGGAGAGAGAGATGAGGAGACGAACGGATGGTGAGAAAACACCTGAACCTCCTCACAGAACTACAGGCTAATGCTAACGCTAACAGACACAATAACAGTCAGACATTCAGTAGAGGAGAGAAATTATCTTTCACAAGAGATTCCCTCTGAAACATTTTCCTGGATTAGTGTCTCGCAGTAATTGTGTTTGCATCCCCATACTAATTATATATCTCAAACCATTTGCTAATGTAGTTTAATGTCCACAAACTCTTGATGTGGAAGCGACTAATGAACACAAATCAAATAAACATGAGTTAGTGGATCTGAAAGTGATTTACTAATATTTTTATTTCTGATATGATATGTCACTAGTCTTCAATAATCATCAGATCAGTAGGACTGAAGCTTGTGTGTTTGGAGTCAGGCGCTTTTGTTTATGAATGATATGTTTGTTTCAGAGAATCTTCTAGTCGACTGGTTCATTCTGATTCATAAGAAGAACATGTTAGTGCGCAGAGATGCAGAGCTGGTGTATATGTGAGTAAACACACACACACACACACACACACACACACACACACACAGGATGTGTATTCGTGTTATTGTTTTGACATACATCAAGCTGGAAATTTGGCCTCCCAAAAAAACTTTCTTTTCCTACATGCAAATTTTAGAACATGCTAATACAAATGCTAAACACGCTAATAACATCCATACAATTTAAAAGGGTGAATAAACATACTAAACTGTGTTTTTATTAGGAAAGAAATACATTTTCCATAAGGGTTAATGTAGATTGTTTGGGGGGGTTAGAGAAAATACTTATTTCAGTATAAAACCGTTAAGTCTCATAAAGTGTGTGTGTGTGTGTGTGTGTGTTCAGGTTGAGACAGCATCGTCTGGAGCAGCAACAGACTGATGTAGAGTTTGAGCTCAGGTGTCTCTTCAACAAACCAGGTGACAAACTGAATTAATCATGTTTCTTAATGTGAAAATTTTGGTTTTTATGTTGTTTTTTTATATTGGTTGGCATTCATTATTTATTCTCTGATATCAAATCTACAAATTAATAGATGATACTAGCATAGAGTATAGATGTCTCGGTAACACTTTACAATAAGGTTCATTAGTTAACATTAGTTACCTACATTAGTTAGCATTAGTTGGCAAAATCACTTTTTTTGCAGGTTATGAAATTAAGTGAATATAAAGTATCTCTAGTTTATAGTTTGTGGTGAATGTGTGTGTGTGTGTGTGTGTTTGTGTGTGATTGTCCAGAACAAGACTGGAGCTCTGATGACCGACAGCAGGAACATCAGCTCATGTCACACCTCCTGTCAATCATCCAGCAGAGGAATGACATCATCAGCAGCCTGGATCTAGACAGACAGAGGTCAGAGGTCACCTGACCCCAGCAGTGTGAGGTCACATGATAATTGTGTGTTATTGATGTTTGTGTTGTGTTCTTCATCAGGGAAGAGGAGGAGGACATGATGCTGTCTGCTGTGATCCAGAGGACAGGTGAGAAACGGTCCTCATGTTTTCATTTTAATGTTTTTAGATTTACTTTAAGACTTTCTCTCTCTCTAGACCTCCTGGCACAGAAGGACCAACAGCTGGACAAATTCAACAGGACGTTTAAAGGCCTTCAGATGTTCAAGACGTCCAGCTGTAAAACTAAAAACAGCAGCAGAAAGAAAAGCAGCTGAAGGAGAGAAAGAGACTAGAGATCAGGGGTCTCAAACTCAGATCCTGGAGATCACTGTCCTCAAACCTGAATCAAGCACACCTGAAACAGGATTACAAGAAAGTTTCAGGTAGTTAAAGCTTAACTCTGCAGGATGTTGGTCCTCCAGAAGCTGAGTTTCACACGTATGCTGTAGATGCTAATTCAATAATGTAATATCTTAAACACTCTAAAACTGTGTTGACAGACACCAGATGCGTCCGTCAAAGCGGATAATCTGGATCCACTTGTCTTGCCTTGAAAGTAGTGCCTTCAATATGTCAGAAACAGACTGACCGTTTACTGTCGGTGACTTTACGAATCCAGTGTAGACAGCATGAAAACCTGCCAGTTGGTGGATCGCTTCCATAGCAGTGACTTGTCTCTTTGGTAAAACAAACAATAACATCATTGAACATTCGGTGTTCCTTTGTAAAAGCCAGATCCGCTCAAGGACAACATCACAAGCCACTTTGTATAGACTGGTCAGAGGTGTAGATGTAAGCTTTTACTGTACAAATCCCTCAAGATTTATATGAGTGAGGGCATGTCATGGACATTTAATACCACCCACATAGTCAATTTTTTGTTTTATTTAGACATTTATAGTTCTGCACTTATGTAATGTATAATTAAATGTGAAAGTAAATGTGCTTTGCTTCACTTAATTTGACTACCAAACCTGTTGGACCTCCTGTGAAAGCATTCAGACTCTATATTAAAACCCATGTTGCCTAACCATCCTACCCTTCAAACCACTGATTGTATCTAAGAAGAAGCAGCATTTCAAACCTCTTGTCTGTCAGCCTGTTTCTCTTTGGGGTGAAGACCAGCTTCCCCAAGTACCTTGTCAATCGTTCTCTGAGTTTTGTTTTCATGATAACCGAATGTAAAGAGTTTTATCTCTAAAACTGTTTAGCGTATAATGCTAGTACTGGGGGCATTGACTAAGTAAAAAGAAATCGCTAGTTTATACCACTAAAAAGGCTCAAAATAGCTCCACACTAACACAGTAACATAATGAGAGTCCATACATGCAAAACAGAGCATTGAGAACTTTGTAAGTGTACAGACCGTTTAATAAGAAGATACTTTATAAAGACAGTTCACTTCGTGTATACAGACAGGAGCCATCTTAGAAAATAGTCTCGATAAGTCGATCCCCGTTCATACAGTTCAGAAGTTTGTTGAATTTCATAGAGTTCAGATCACTCAGCACATCGTTCGTGGTTTGACTAGTTGAGACTATTTTCTAAGATGGCGCCGCCTGTATACACAGAGTGAACTGTCTTTATAAAGTAGCTTATCTTGTATGGACCCTCATTATGTTACTGTGTTAGTGTGGGACTATTTTGAGCCTTGTTAGTGGTATAAACTAGCGATTTCTTTTTACTTATTATATGCCCCCATTACTAGCATTATACGCTAAACAGTTTTTAGAGATAAAACTCTTTACATTCGATTATCATGAAAACAAATCTCAGAGAACGGTTGACTAGGTACCAAAGTTTTATTTAAAGGATTTATAGTGAAATGTTATATTATTTTAATATAGTTTCATTGTAAACTGAGCCTAAGTTTTTTTTTTTTTTTTTTTTTTTTGACTCTCAAAGTGACTGTTGACTTGCATTATGAATCGCCAAAGACCACCGTTTCAGCTAAAGAACTTCTTTAGTGTTCTGAAGATAAAATAAGTCACTTGGATGACCTGGGAGAGAAACTTTACAGCAAATCACTGAAGGGCAGACAAACAAGAACAGAAGAAAGAGAAGAGACGAGCAGAAACATAACTGTAAATGACTTCAGCTTTAGATTAAATCCACTGAAGATAAAATAAGAAAAATCTGTGAAGATCTCAGCAGAGGAGGATTAAACAACTCCACAAACAGCATTACCAGCTTCACTTATTAATAACCAGTTTGAGATATGTTGAAGTTGAGTAGCCATTAGCCAATATGATTTTTTAATGCAATTTCTCCCGTATGCTCAGAAACAGTATTAATTCAGGTTTTATGAGTCAGATCTGTAATTCATGTCATTTGTGTTAGCTGTTATTGCTAATAATTTTGTTGAGTTTTACATTGATGTTTGTATAGCCTAAATTAATTAAATCCCTTGCATCCTTTTGTTTTATCCCTACGGAGGCGTATTGCATTCACTTGAAGAAAAAAATCTACTCTGTTTTTCTGAATTAACGAGTTAATTTTTCATGAGAAAAAAAATTGCTCTGTTTTTCTGAATTAATGAGTTAATTTTTCATGAGAAAAAAAATTTTGCTCTGTTTTTCTGAATTAATGAGTTAATTTTTCATGAGAAAAAAAAATTTTGCTCTCTTTTTCTGAATTAATGAGTTCATTTTTAATGAGAAAAAAAGTTTTGCTCTGTTTTTCTGAATTAATGAGTTAATTTTTCATGAGAAAAAAAGTTTTGCTCTGTTTTTTCTGAATTAATGAGTTCATTTTTCATGAGAAAAAAAATTTTGCTCTGTTTTTCTGAATTAACGAGTTAATTTTTCATGAGAAATTTTTTTGCTCTGTTTTTCTGAATTAATGAGTTAATTTTTAATGGAATTTTTTTTTTGCTCTGTTTTCTGAATTAATGAGTTAATTTAGAAAAACAGCAAAAATAAATTTTCTCATGAAAAATTAACTCATTAATTCAGAAAAACAGAGCAAATTTTTTTTCTCATGAAAAATTAACTCATTAATTCAGAAAAACAAGCAAACACTTTTTTCTCATGAAAAATTAACTCGTTAATTCAGAAAAACAGCAAAAAAAAATTTTCTTATAAAAATTAACTCATTAATTCAGAAAAACAGAGCAAATTTTTTTTTCTCATGAAAAATTAACTCATTAATTCAGAAAAACAGAGCAATTTTTTTTTCTCATGAAAAATTAACTCGTTAATTCAGAAAAACAGAGTACATTTTTTTTCTTCAAGTGAATGCAATACGCCTCCGTACATTAATTCAGAAAAACAGAGTAGATTTTTTTTTTCTTCAAGTCATCAAGTGAATGCAATACGCCTTCGTATATCCCAATGTTAAAGCAGCATTATTTTGTATTTTATTTCAGACTTTGTTATGGGCTCTATGCACAGTGATATTTCCGGTGAAGGTGTAAGGATGCTCGATAACTTCCGCCGATCATAGAGTCCAATGCAATACCGAGAATTTATATTGAATTTTATACTCCAAAGAAACGTTAGTCACAAAACAGATAAAACAGACACCCCTCGTTGTGTTTATGCTTCTTTTTAAAATTATATTAAATAAACATAACATAAAATTACATCTAAACGTTTCGTTTCAAAGACGGGAGGACAGTAAATATTGAAGACTCTGCCATAATCCCGTTTTCCTCGGTTTTCCTCCGCTTTAATCTACACAACCGGAAACTGTTGAGCATCCTTGCGTCAAATGCGGAACTTATGCTTGCATATAGCCAATTCCACGTTGTACGTTGTAAATGATAAGAGGAGAACTGACAAACAATATGAATTATTCTTTTCGTCTCTGTCGCTATGTGTTCTCAATATCATCATCAAAGTATAGCAACTTAATATAATGTATCTGCATATTGCAGCAGTGAAAAGGGCCTACATTAAAATAATGTAAACTTTCATTAATATAACGGACTGGTGTAGCTACTTTTCTCTAACGGATATTTCCGCGTGCAATTTTCTCTTTCTTACTTTCGATTTCAGTCTCGGCAGCCCGTGGCGAAGAAATGACGTCCAGGATGGGTGAGAATCAAGGTAGAATATATAAATCGAAATAGTAGCGAAATTGTGTTGCTTAGCCTACTTTGCATGGTCTAAAAAAAAACAAAACACGGGTTTTATTTAATATTTGTTGAGCGCAATGTTTGAAATGTATCGCAATAAAATGTATTGCAATGCAGGAAGTAAAGAATGCATCATCTTCTAACATACAAACAATAAATTATGCAAATTTCTGTGATCGCCTACAGTGGTTCTGTCTTTTTGGTCTTAAGAAGGTACTAAAAGTAATAAAATTACATATTCAATTGCATAACCAATGCAACAATTTCCGGTGAGTTAGTTCACCCTATAGCTTTTATTTTAATAAATGTATGCAAGAGAGCAGGATAAACGCGCACATATTTTAATTTAGGTACAGTAAAAAAAAAATTAAAAAAACGCGTCAGTTATGATAATTGTAAAGGTTATCTCATGTTAATCAGCAAATCTGATATCTGACTGTTATTTTCAGAGGGAAAGATGCCCCGAAGTGCTGATCGTGCAAACAGTAAGTCAATTAAATTATTGATAATTCCAGTATTTTTGCATATGTTGAGGCTCATTGTTCTTGTATTGAAACCCTTTTTTATTGTTTTAGTCTGTAGCTCTAAAATTTGTGTAATGTGAAATTAGGTTGTGCATTATTAAATTCAATCTGTGAAGCACAGCCAAGTCTTTTCTCAGTTCATATTGTTTTAAGTGACAATTGTACATTGAAAGTGTGATATGTATTCTGCAGCTGTGCAACAACTTAAAGAATATAGCCTACATTAGAAAATAGAAAGGGGAAAATAATTCATGAGAAAAGAGGTAGTTTAATATGTTTGGTGCAGTTTGTTTGCAAAATATGTAAGTGTATCTGTAAACATTACTATTGCTGAAAACATATGTGCAGTGTGAACAACAGTGCAAAACAGTACAAAAAAAACAGACACAGCAAGAGCACAAAGTTGCATTAAGGATTTAAGGAAAGTGGCTAAGCAGTTTAATAACATTATCTGTTCAGTAGTAGTGTAAGAAAAGTTATAAAACCAGAATATTAAGTCTGAATTCTGATTAAATCAGATAAGTCTCTTATTTGAGATTTTATAATTATCTTTCTTTTTTCCCAGAGTGTGATTTGAGGATTGTTCTTCTGGGAAAGAATGGATCAGAAAACAGTCGAGTTAGAAACTCAATCCTGGAAATTGATTTGCATGAGTGTGAAAGTCCTACAGATTTACAGGAGCCCTGTTCCATAATCAGTGGAAAGGTGAAGGACAGACAAATCACTGTCATTAACACTCTTCATCTGCTGGATCCACTCATCTCACATCATCAGATCACACACACAGTGAGACAGTGTGTGTCTCTGTCCGCTCTAGGACCTCATGTGTTCATACTCGTACTGCAGTATAAAGACTTCACTGAGGAGGACATGAGAAGAGTCGAATATGTGCTGAAACAGTTTAATGAGGAAGCATTTAAGCGTACCATCGTGCTCACAACTGATAATGAGACAAGATCTTTTTTTGGTGTGTGGAAGAAATATACAGCTGTTGATCAGTTAATAGAGGAGTGTGGAGGAGGACATCTGCAGATTGAGGAAAGAAAACCAGGATTGCAAACAGAAATATTAAAGAGGGTTGATATGATACAAGAGAAAAGCAAAGAAAAACATCTCACTTGTGAGATATATGAAGATGATAAAGAATCTTCTGCAGATGCAGAGCAGAGCAGAGCAGAGGAAGGAAACAACAAGAGCTCTCACCACAAAGACCATAAAAAAACAGAAGAGAGGCAGAAAAACAAAAATGAAGGTACTGTACAGTCTTTTTAAACAAGTTTTCACATTTCAGCTTCTAATTACCTTTTTTACAATTTAACTAAATTCATATACATTTAACAAAAAGTTAAATAGAACAAACAAATATATTGCTAAACTATTAGGCTATTTCACGCAATTGGAAGGAGTAAAATGTAATGCGTATTTGGCGTGCTGTTTGGGGGAGGGCTCAGAGTACAAATGAAGCTTTGGTGAAGCACTGAACCACTTAGAAGAATTGTTTTGAAATGGGTTCATTACTCGAAGCTTCAGTAACAGCGCCTTCACCTGGTGAAGTGCCAAAGCTGCATCTAAGTTATCCTGGCTAGATAGTGGACAGTAGGTTGAAATAAAGTTAGTGAAAATAAATCTACAAAAAAAAAATAAAAAAATAAATCACAGTTAGTGAAATAAATCTACTCCACCCAAGAGCAGAAGAGTAAGCTAATGAGCCAGGATTGTTTTTCTTTACAAAAATATAGTCTTTACTTTTTAAAAAAATACAAAGTACAAATGAACACGCCAAATTCTGATTTGAGCGACTCTTTTTCGGTCGGGCCGATTTTCAGCTTTGTCATGCTTCGTTTATCAGGCAGTGTTCGTGTAGGAGAAACGAGAGGTGATCAAAATCTCCAGATCGCCAGTCGGATGAATTTCTTGTTAGAAATTTTGGTCGCTATTTGTAATTGACCTTGTTTTAGACAATTTTCAACGAGGAGGAGTAAGCTTATATGTAATATTTTATTAGCGGTGACTCGCTATGAAATCATTGCGTGCCAATTTAATTTGAATAGCCTATAATTTAAACAATAAAAGTAGCCTTGGCCTCCCTAATAATAATAATAGTTCAATAATACTAATAATAATTTAATACATAAATTGGAAATGCTAAATCATCTTGATATTGATAGCTGATGCCACAGCTACAGAAAGAATACAAATTGATGATTGCCCTATAAAACATTTACAAGGATTACAAACCTTAAAAGTATTAAAACATAAAACACAAATATAAAATGAAGCTTAATACCAATTATCCCTATTCAATAGTTTAATTAAGATCTGTACCTGTATTCTCAAATATATCTGCTTAATTCTCTGAGGCACCAATCAACACCTTTTCCCATCAGAACACTTCCCAATTCAGATCTATGCTGCTCACTAATCAACTCACTAATTCGTTTTTTCATCTGCTACTAATAAGACACTAAACAGTGCTTGACTCATTACCACAAAGAGAAAGTCTAAACAGTTTGGTTTCCCTTTATAGCATGTTATCCTCTCATGGGATTTGTAGTCCTTCACCTTCTACCCCATTACACTTGTTTTGACAATATCTCTGGACACATGATATAGGTGTATCATGGCGCGAGGGTTTGATTCGCGCATTTTTCACATGTATAGTGTGAGCAGTGAAGTCGCATCTCGACGCTCAGACTGTATAGAGAGGCTAAGTCCCACCCCTTCCGGTCGACCACCATGGGACATTGGCCGTTTCTCAATATGCCTTCTTGTCTGTACTTGTGTTCTTGTGGACTTGTAAAACGTCATCAGTCGCGGCCCAAGTACTGTCCCAATACACAAGTTTGCATTTAGGCAAGAACGGTTAAAAATCCCGGATGTGTTCTTGACACTCCCATTTTACCGAGGATGCATCGGTTGGTAACTTCCCAGCAAACAGGGGACGTCCTCCGGACGTTGCGAACGTCTAATTAGGTCCGGATCTGGTCCGGTTTATAACGTTCGCCGGGGGACGTTCGGAGGACGTCCGCATTTGGTCCGGTTCATAACGTTCGCTGGGGGACGTTCGGAGGACGTCCGCATTTGGTCCGGTTTATAACGTTCGCTGGGGGACATTCCGAGGACGTCCGCATTTGGTCCGGTTCATAACGTTCGCTGGGGACATTCCGAGGACGTCCGCATTTGGTCCGGTTCATAACGTTCGCCGGGGGACGTTCGGAGGACGTCCGCATTTGGTCCGGTTCATAACGTTCGCTGGGGGACATTCCGAGGACGTCCGCATTTGGTCCGGTTCATAACGTTCGCCGGGGGACGTTCGGAGGACGTCCGCATTTGGTCCGGTTCATAACGTTCGCTGGGGGACGTTCGGAGGACGTCCGCATTTGGTCCGGTTTATAACGTTCGCCGGGGGACATTTTGAGGACGTGCACTTTATTGACATTATGGTGCAAAACCATAAAAACATAAGAAGTGTTGGTGGTATAAAAATACTGCCTATTAGCATTTTTAGCACATGTTCAAATGAGATATGCTTGAGTGTTCGCAAAAACAATAATAAAAAAATCTGAATTAAAAGTGCCATTGTCCAGGAGTGATAATTTGCACCTAGGAACGGTCATAGCTTCAAAATAAGTTTTAGATTCATGCTTTAATAATGATATTTTTATTCAAGTAGGTTATAATTCTAATTTATGTTTGTAAATGTATAATGCGTTTTAACGGGCATGCGCGTGAAGTTGAGTTGCCATGGAAACGGAGGGTCACCAGTGCAGACAGCAAAACTCCGACTCTCCCTGTTTTCACTGCTTTCAGGTGAGTTTAGTCTCTAAAATCACACAAATAATACACACGACTGTTCTTGACACTTCTCTTAATTTTAACTGGCACGCTTCTGTTTAATATTTAACGTTACTTTATAGAAATGGGTTAGTCATTGTCTTCGAAAAAATCCATTAGCATCACTAACCGTTTAGCTACAGAAGAGTTAAGGCTACGTTAGCTTGAGCTTTTGTTTATGAATGTTTGGGCTTTTAATCACATTTTATGTGTTGATTAGAGGTTTTGATATTTTTGTAGCCTAAATATTTTGCTTGGAAGTGAGCTAAAAACGTATTTAACATAAAACGTTACGTTGTATTACTGTTAATCGATGACGTCACTTACACGGCTGAAACTAATGGTTAATAAATATTGATAAAAAGAAAAATTATGTGATTTCAGCAGCAACAAGATAACTGTTGGCTATGTGACAAATGGTTTGTTGTGTTCCTAGATCGTTCCATGCTGATGCCCTGCTCAGTAGCAGAGTTGAACTGACCATCATCTGAACCTGGCAACCGGACACGCAAACACACACGCTCTTTTTTGATAATGAAAATAAAATTATTTTGTTTCCTGATATTCCTTGTTGTGTGTTTGTTCCTTGGGTAGTTAATATGTTAAAAAGACTTCTAGTGAACGTTGAAGTTCACTATAGAAGTCTGAAAAGTCCCCGAATGTTTGCTGAACGTCCCGCAAACGTCCCCCGCGACGTCATGTGAACGTCCCGCGAACGTCCCCCGCGACGTCCTGTGAACGTCCCGCAAACGTCCCCTGCGACGTCCTGAGAACGTTTAAAGAACCCTACACGAAGACGTTCAGGGGACGTTCGCAGTGGACGTTCAGGGGACGTTCTGGGGACGTGTTTTTGTTAGCTGGGTTGTGTGAACTTGACGGCAGAAATATCCCATAATTCATTTCGGCAATCGCGGAAGGAGCGGGAAGCAGAGAGAGGCAGGTCAAAAGTTACCTGAATATTACCTAATATTACCGGCGTTTTTTCCCGCCGTGGTTAGTGATGTACACAAACAACAGAAGCAGAATTAAAATGAGACATGTGTTGCTTTATTGTTGTGAATATACATTACATTGTTGTGTATGTAGAGTAATCCCTTAGGTTTGGGCGATAAAGCCTGGCTGTATAATAATTCTCGTTATGTTTGGGCACTGCAGACGGCGTCATTGCGGGGGTAACGTTACTATTATTGCGCAATACCAGCAAGAACACATCGTCTCAAACTGTCAGCAGCGTTCTGTGTGCTCGTCACCTCGTGAGTTCGTTCTTCCAAGAACAACTAGCAAGAGCTTTCTTCCCAAGAACACAAGTCCGTTCTTTGCATTCTTGGTTTTGAGAAACGGCCCTTATTTCGGAAAAATATTGAATGGTAGTCAATGGCGAGAGACAACAAATATTTTGATCTGGTTTGAATTGTGCCCTGAATTACACATATGATGTTTGCCAATTTAAAACATACATTTTAAAGTAAAGAAAGTCGCAGTTTGATGTAAAACCGTTGAGGTATAAGACTGTGAAAATATGTAATTACAAAGACTACTACTTGTTTCTATAGTCTTATAATCGTAACGTTACGCCGTCATGAGTGTTTTGTACCAGACTGCACACACACGAGCAGCGGATCTCGTTCGTTGTTTTGCTTCCCGGGAGATGTAGTTCATAGAGCGATTTTCACATAAAACTAAATGTTACTCTTCTGTTGTATAACAAATTGCAACGTTTTTGACTTTCAGAATTATCTTTTAAATTGACAAACATCATATGTGTAATTCAGGGCACAGTTCAGACGAAATAAAAAGATAAGTTGCCTCTCGCCATTGACTACCATACATATTTTTTTCCGAAATAAGGTCCCATGAGCTGGAAGCGAGCACATACATCCTGAGCTTTGGCTTTACATCGCAAAAGCCGTATCGCTTTAGGGACGTTGGTGTTATCTGCCATGTTGGCAGGAGTGGAGAAAACAGTTCTCAGAGTATCCACCTTATTCCTGACGACTTTACTGCGTTTTGAATTATGGGTGGCACTTCCGGGTTGGGGAACTTCAAATCATAAGGTTGCCTTACAATTAAAGCTGATCCGTCAGTTTGACTGAATGAACTGTCAATTTTCCTTCATGATTTATTTTCAGACATCATGAGAAAGAATAAAGTTATACTTGGTATTTTAACATGACATGTTATAATAAGAATATATTTTCAGTCTCTGCTATCTTTTCCTCGTGATGATTTTTATTTTTTCCTTCGCAATCCGCTGTAAAAGTATGAAAAAGGACAGCATATACGACACATTTGTGGACAGTTCTCCCGAATATAATTTACGATATTCCATTAATAATTCACTGGAATGCATGAAGAATCTTGTTATTCTCCTCAATCCTCACGTCTCTTTCCAGGTTTGTTTTCTCGGGTAAATGCAATTTATAATCTGTCAAAATGACGGAAATCCCTTTTGATAGAGTGTCACAAAATGCTGAAGTTAATGAGCATTTTTGATTAATGCTTGTTATACAATACAGTAAGGTGACCAAGTAGGGGTACAGTAGGGGGAGTGATGGGGGAATAGATACAGTCGGTTGATCTGGGAACGCCTCAGGGAACGCCCCGTCACGTGGTGTGAATTTAGCCCGTGGGGGAAAACAGTGCCTTGGCGCTCATTGAAATACATGGGACAATCTTGCCGAAGAGTTGCTGTGTCGTTTTCTGTACCACCAATAAACTAACAAATTATAAATTGAAGTTCTACATCCTTTCTTACATACATACAGAACCGGATAGGAGGACAAAATGGCAAAATGAATCATATCTTATTAGATTACTGTGTGAGTAGAGGTCCCTGTGTGATATAGTAGTAGATGTTTAACTCGTTAGGCAGTGGGCCAGATTTGTCTGACGTTACATCCCTTACGAAAAAGAACTATAGTAATCATATGGCTATTAGTATTCTATAGTAGTGTATAATACTTCTGTGATGTTCTTTAATACCTCTATACTTCTAGGCTATGTCCCAAAATACTATAGTATTCCTATAGGATTAACTTTACTGTAATATTTTGTCCTAAAATACTACAAGATTCCTAGTTGTTTTTCATAAGGGATGTCTCAGTCACATTAGCGTTATCAGCTGAAGGTTATCAGACTGCAGTCTGTGAGAATTCGGATAACTGTCAGCAAAGTCCCTCTGCAACTGATCACCGTTTTACAAAAGGATTAATAGTTTGGAGTGAAGCATACGTACAGTTGGTAAGTGACGTGGTTTTATGGACTTATAGTAACTTATACGCAAGTTGATTGAGTAATAGGCCTGTTGCTTCCGCGATGTCTTACCTGGAGATTCAACCAGATAACAATAGTCTGGAAACGACACCTCCGGCCATTTGGTTGGGCTCTGATCGCAGCCTCATTGGTCTGTCACTGCTTGTCAATGTCAGAATATTTGAAATGACCAATCAAATCAAAGTATAGGCGGACTTTACGTTCACAGAATTTTAGCAGTGTGACGCTTCAGACGCTTTAGTTTACGGTTAAGTGCGAGGTAAGATGTAAGTAGCTAAGTATTTAAAATAAATAAATAAATAAAAGCCCAAATGTAAATTCACAGATGATTTACAGAGAAAATTCCTGTGTTTTCGTTTCAGTCGGGATCCGTGTAAAGCAGAATGCATGATGCAAAGCAAAGCTGGCATGTACATGTCAGTGTCAAGGTGATAGCGACCTAGAAGTCCACATAAAGAAAGTATAGGCTAAGAGAACATCAGCACGATTCAAATTGTTTTTTTTTTTTTTTTTTTTTTTTTTTTTTACTAAAATAGTGTAGGCCTAGTAGATTTTTTATTTTATTTTAGTAGTAGATTTTTGCTATGGCCATGAAGAGAAATAGTGTCATGTAAAAGGTGTTAAAAGATAAACCTTTTTTAAATAGTATTCTATTGTTGCGGGCCAAACATTGAATGGAAAGGATGTATTACTTTATTAAAGTACAATAACATAGTTGCAAGGTTGTGAATGCATTTGTCAAGTATTTTTTGATGCATTCTCCCCCACCCCTTAACCACGCCTCCCCAAAATCATGCCGCGCCCATCAACCACGCCCCCCGTCCTGTTTTCCAAAAACTAAAATATGGTCACCCTACAATACAGATATATATTTGCCTATACTACCAGTAGTGATATTTAACCAAAGACTCGCACTTATGGGGCTATTTTTGGTCTGTTGAAAGTTGATTCTTTTAAATTTAATTTTACTGTTCGATGGTTGAAGGGTGGGTCAATTAATGTCTTCTCATTGTGACACTTTTTTTAGCGTATTCCGTTCGTAGAGCGAGCCTTTCACTGATTGTTTACAGCTTAATGGAAGTTACATCCATAATTCGCGCAAAGCGTCATGGGGTGCAGGAAAAAGGTGGATAAGTGCCTGGAGGGAGCATGGCATAGAAGACTCTAGGAGAGACTCTGCTGGTCAGGAGGGGAACAGCAACCAACAAACAAGATCTCTACATATTGAAACTGTTTGTTGTTGTTGTTGTTTTTTAACCTATGGCAATGAAAAATACTTTTTTTGTATATTTGGCTATTTATGCTGTTGCAATATTGTTTTAATGGAAAGCACTTTGGCCAACTCATGATATTTTAACGTGCTACACTAAAATCTAAACAATCTTTTATTGTTGCAGGTCAAAAGTTTAATTAAAAGGATGTATTACTTTATGGTTTAAAGTTCAATAACATAGTTGCATGGTTGTGAATGCATTTGTCAAGTATTTGTTGATGAATTCACCCGCAAATGTACAGAAACAAAACTTGAAAATCTCTTGAAATATTTTTTTTCAGTGTCAGCGAATTTTTCTGGAAAAGAGAAGCTGAACCTGGTGCTGTGTGGAAGTGATGATGCACTTAAGGCCTCTGTGTCAAAACTTTTTCAAGGGAAAAAGATACAACATTCACGTCAGAGAGCAAGCAGTGAAGTGTGTGTGAAGAAAGACTTGAAGCTTCATGGACGTCAGATCAGTCTGGTGGAGCTTCCAGCTCTGATCAACTCTCGGCTCTCAGAGGAGGAAGTGATGCGTCAGACTCTCCGCTGTGTGTCTCTCTGTGATCCTGGAGTTCATTTTTTCCTCATCATTATTCCTGATGCTACACTTACAAATCACGAGAAAGCAGAAATAGAGAAGATCCAGAAGATATTTGACTCCAGAGAGCACATCATTCAAATTTATGGGTCAAGTCTCTCTGTTGAAGAACAAGTGAAAGAATCCATACAACCCCATCCAGATTCTCAGAGTTTAATCAGCCTCTACGGGGATCGGTACAAAGTGATTGAGTTAAATGAACCTGAAAACTCGAGACAGATCCCAGATCTACTGGATTATATGGATGAAATGAAGATTGTTCCATATTCACTTCAGATGTATGTGAAAGCTCAAGAGAACAGAGTCAGACATGAAACTAAGAAGACATATGAAGAAGAACTGAAGAGACTGAAGAATGAAATGAAAGAGTTAAAACATAAGATGGAGTCAGAAGGTGAGTGTTTTGTGTGTGTGTAAATTATATTATGAATCTTCATAAGGATGTAGAACATTTTTTTTTTTAACAAAATGTCATCAGAGCAAAATTCCCAGTGTTAAATTAACAATGCTCAGTGTTATAAGTAACACTGAAGCTGAAGCTGTGGAAAAACAAACAGGTTCTGAACGGGTTTGCAAATTGAACCAACTCCGAACCAACTTTGAACCAGCACCAGTTCCAGCCAGTTCTTTTTGGGTGGAAAAGGGGTAACAGGGTGTTAAATTAACAGTTAATGAGCTAAAAGTGATTGATTGATTTATGATTAACCATTATTGAAGACACCTGATGTTAAAAAGCAGAATCAACAAAGGAGAAAAATCACATTTTAGTCACCATTATGGTGATTAAGTTGGCTTGAGAAAGCCAACTTACTGAAATCCTATTTAAACTTATTATTATTATTATTATTCTTCTTACTCAAAATTTTCTGACTGCTACTCCTCCTAGAGCTTTAACTCTACAAACTCCAAACTCGGGTCAGACCTTCAGACTGTTCTGACTCGAGTTGCTATATCTTTTTAGACTGATTCGACTTTCAGATTTCTTAAAAATTAATATTAAAAATCATAAAAATCCCATTGACTTTCATTGCAGCATTGTCAAATTGAGCCAAGACTACGGTGGCCCAATAGCGTACAACAAAAACTCAAATCTAAATTCCCTGAAGCCCTAGACTCAATTAAACTACCATTCTATATGTACTAATGATCTATCTATCTATCTATCTATCTATCTATCTATCTATCTATCTATCTATCTATCTATCTATCTATCTATCTATCTACCTAATCTTTCTTTCTTTCTTTCTAACAAATCTATCCATCTTTCTTTCTACCTAACTAATCTATCCATCTTTCTTTCTAAAAAATCTATCCATCTTTCTTTCTAACAAATCTATCCATCTTTCTTTCTAACAAATCTATCCATCTTTCTTTCTAACTAATCTATCCATCTTTCTTTCTAACAAATCTATCCATCTTTCTTTCTAACTAATCTATCCATCTTTCTTTCTAACTAATCTACCCATCTTTCTTTCTAACTAATCTATCCATCTTTCTTTCTAACAAATCTATCCATCTTTCTTTTTAACTAATCTATCCATCTTTCTTTTTAACTAATCTATCCATCTTTCTTTCTAACAAATCTATCCATCTTTCTTTCTAACAAATCTATCCATCTTTCTTTCTAACAAATCTATCCATCTTTCTTTTTAACTAATCTATCCATCTTTCTTTCTAACAAATCTATCCATCTTTCTTTCTAACTAATCTATCCATCTTTCTTTCTAACTAATCTATCCATCTTTCTTTCTAACAAATCTATCCATCTTTCTTTCTAACTAATCTATCCATCTTTCTTTCTAACTAATCTACCCATCTTTCTTTCTAACTAATCTATCGTTCTTTCTTTCTAACAAATCTATCCATCTTTCTTTTAACTAATCTATCCATCTTTCTTTCTAACAAATCTATCCATCTTTCTTTCTAACTAATCTATCCATCTTTCTTTCTAACTAATCTATCCATCTTTCTTTCTAACAAATCTACCCATCTTTCTTTCTAACTAATCTATCCATCTTTCTTTCTAACAAATCTATCCATCTTTCTTTTTAACTAATCTATCCATCTTTCTTTTTAACTAATCTATCCATCTTTCTTTCTAACAAATCTATCCATCTTTCTTTCTAACTAATCTATCCATCTTTCTTTCTAACAAATCTATCCATCTTTCTTTCTAACTAATCTATCCATCTTTCTTTCTAACAAATCTATCCATCTTTCTTTCTAACTAATCTATCCATCTTTCTTTCTAACAAATCTATCCATCTTTCTTTCTAACAAATCCATCCATCTTTCTTTCTAACAAATCTATCCATCTTTCTTTCTTACTAATCTATCCATCTTTCTTTCTAACAAATCTATCCATCTTTCTTTCTAACTGATCTATCCATCTTTCTTTCTAACAAATCTATCCATCTTTCTTTCTAACTAATCTATCCATCTTTCTTTCCATCAAATCTATCCATCTTTCTTTCTATGTAACTAATCTATCCATCTTTCTTTCTAACAAATCTATCCATCTTTCTTTCTAACAAATCTATCCATCTTTTTTCTAACAAATCTATCCATCTTTCTTTCTAACTAATCTATCCATCTTTCTTTCTAACAAATCTATCCATCTTTCTTTCTAACTAATCTATCCATCTTTCTTTCTAACTAATCTATCCATCTTTCTTTCTAACTAATCTATCCATCTTTCTTTCTAACTAATCTATCCATCTTTCTTTCTAACTAATCTATCCATCTTTCTTTCTAACAAATCTATCCATCTTTCTTTCTAAATAATCTATCGTTCTTTCTATCTAACAAATCTATCCATCTTTCTTTCTAACTAATCTATCCATCTTTCTTTCTAAATAATCTATCGTTCTTTCTATCTAACAAATCTATCCATCTTTCTTTCTAACTAATCTATCCATCTTTCTTTCTAACAAATCTATCCATCTTTCTTTCTAAATAATCTATCGTTCTTTCTATCTAACAAATCTATCCATCTTTCTTTCTAACTAATCTATCCATCTTTCTTTCTAACTAATCTATCCATCTTTCTTTCTAAATAATCTATCGTTCTTTCTATCTAACAAATCTATCCATCTTTCTTTCTAACTAATCTATCCATCTTTCTTTCTAACTAATCTATCCATCTTTCTTTCTAACAAATCTATCCATCTTTCTTTCTAAATAATCTATCGTTCTTTCTATCTAACAAATCTATCCATCTTTCTTTCTAACTAATCTATCCATCTTTCTTTCTAACTAATCTATCCATCTTTCTTTCTAAATAATCTATCGTTCTTTCTTTCTAACAAATCTATCGTTCTTTCTTTCTACCTAACTAATCTATCCATCTCTCTTTCTAACAAATCTATCCATCTTTCTTTCTAACAAATCCATCCATCTTTCTTTCTAACAAATCTATCCATCTTTCTTTCTAACAAATCCATCCATCTTTCTTTCTAACTAATCTATCCATCTTTCTTTCTAACTAATCTATCCATCTTTCTTTCTAACTAATCTATCCATCTTTCTTTCTAACAAATCTATCGTTCTTTCTTTCTACCTAACTAATCTATCCATCTTTCTTTCTAACAAATCTATCCATCTTTCTTTCTAACAAATCTATCCATCTTTCTTTCTAACTAATCTATCCATCTTTCTTTCTAACAAATCTATCCATCTTTCTTTCTAACTAATCTATCCATCTTTCTTTCTAACTAATCTATCCATCTTTCTTTCTAACAAATCTATCCATCTTTCTTTCTAAATAATCTATCGTTCTTTCTATCTAACAAATCTATCCATCTTTCTTTCTTACTAATCTATCCATCTTTCTTTCTAACAAATCTATCCATCTTTCTTTCTAACAAATCTATCCATCTTTCTTTCTTACTAATCTATCCATCTTTCTTTCTAACAAATCTATCCATCTTTCTTTCTTACTAATCTATCCATCTTTCTTTCTAACAAATCTATCCATCTTTCTTTCTTACTAATCTATCCATCTTTCTTTCTAACAAATCTATCGTTCTTTCTTTCTACCTAACTAATCTATCCATCTTTCTTTCTAACAATTCTTTCTTTCTCTTTCTTTCTTTCTTTCTTTCTTTCTTTCTTTCTTTCTTTCTTTCTTTCTTTCTTTCTTTCTAACAATTCCATCTTTCTTTCTAACAAATCTATCCATCTTTCTTCCTAACTAATCTATCGTTCTTTCTTTCTAACAAATCTATCCATCTTTCTTTCTAACAAATCCATCCATCTTTCTTTCTAACTAATCTATGCCTCTTTCTTTCTAACAATTCTTTCTTTCTCTTTCTTTCTTTCCTTCTTTCTTTCTTTCTTTCTTTCTTTCAAACAAATTTTTTTCTTTCTTTCTTTCTTTCTTTCTTTCTTTCTTTCTTTCTTTCTTTCTTTCTTGATGCTAATAACATGCTAATCATGCTAGCTTTATGCTAATCATGTTAGCTTTTTGTTATAAACATGCTAGCATGATGCTAGCTACATGCTAATCATGTTAGCATGATGCTAGCTACATGCTAATCATGCTAGCTTCTTGTTAAAAACATGCTAGCATGATGCTAGCAACATGCTAATCATGTTATTATGATGCTAGCTACATGCTAATCATGCTAGCATGATGCTAGCTACATGCTAATTATGCTAGCTTCTTGCTAAAAACATGCTAGCATGATGCTAGCAACATGCTAATCATGTTAGCATGATGATAGCTACATGCTAATCACGTTAGCATGATGCTAGCTACATGCTAATAATGTTAGCTTCTTGCTAAAAACATGCTAGCATGATGCTAGCAACATGCTAATCATGCTAGCATGATGCTAGCTACATGCTAATCATGTTAGCTTCTTGCTAGCAACATGCTAGCATGATGCTAGTAACATGCTAATCATGCTAGCATGATGCTAGCTACATGCTAATCATGCTAGCTTCTTGCTAGCAACATGTTAATCATGTTAGCATGATGCTAGCTACATGCTAATCATGTTAGCTTCTTGCTAAAAACATGCTAGCATGATGCTAGCAACATGCTAATCATGCTAGCATGATGCTAGCTACATGTTAGTCATGCTAACTTCTTGCTAAAAACATGCTAGCATGATACTAGCAACATGCTAATCATGCTATTATGATGCTAGCTACATGCTAATCATGCTAGCTTCTTGCTAAAAAATGCTAGCATGATGCTAGCAACATGCTAATCATGCTAGCATGATGCTAGCTACATGCTAGTCATGTTAGCTTCTTGTTAAAAATATGCTAGCATGATGCTAGCAACATGCTAATCATGCTATTATGATGCTAGCAACATGCTAATCACGTTAACAACATGCTAATCATTTTAACTACATGCTAATCATATTAGCATCAAGCTAGCTACATGCTAATCATGTTAGCTTCTTGCCAATAACATCTATCTATCTAGCTATCTATCTATCTATCTTTCTAACTAATCTATCTTTCTAACTAATCTATCCATCTTTCTTTCTTTCTTTCTAATTCCATCTTTAAAACTTAATTCAAACTTCAAAATTCTTCAAACGCTCTGGTCCGGCTTTCTCAAGCCAACTTAAAGTTTGTGTCATCAAACTTTTTTTTCTAGTTGGTATTTGCTTTAGTTGGGCTCTTGATCCTTAAACTATTAATGCTAGATTCAGATTGACTGCCATAATTGAGTTATAATTGCCAGATGAACAAAGGGTTACATTCATTAGGTAGTGTTGGTTATGTTTTAACGTAATCATCATTTGATCTCAATCACTGAACTCATTTAGAGCCTAATCTCTGACATATTGTATATTGGTCATTAGAGAATCAAAGAGACTATACAGCTTAAGATCCACATTATTCAATATAATCCAAATGATTTCTTAAAAAGTTGTTCTAATAAAAAAAAATCTTCGTTTAAAGGGTTAGTTCACCCAAAAATGAAAATTCTGTCAGTATTTACTCACCCTCATGTTGTTCCAAACCTCGATGTGTTTATTTGTTCTGCTGACACAAAGGAAGATATTTGGAAGAATGTTTTAATCAAACAGATCTCATTCCCCATTGACTACCATAGAAGGAAAAAATACATACTATGGTAGTCAATGGGGATTGAGATCTGTTTGATTAAAACATTCTTCCAAATATCTTCCTTTGTGTTCAGCAAAACAAATAAACACATAGAGGTTTGGAACAACATGAGGGTGAGTAAATACTGACAGAATTTTCATTTTTGGGTGAACTAACCCTTTAAGGCACATACAGACATCAAGATTCAGTGTATGAATCTCAACAATGGTGACAAAAGAATATTCAATTAGGAAAATGAAATTACTAAGACAATTAAGATCATAATTTATTCATACTGCAGTGCATGATGGGAGCCATGAATGAGTTTTGATTGGTGGCACCCAGAATGCACTGCAACATGCTTCATTATTGTCACCATTGTTGAGAATCACAGGCTGATTCTTCATGTCTGTGTGTACAAATGAAATATTTTTCAAAGTCTTTTGATCAGAACAACTTTTAAGAAATCTTTTGGATTAAATTGAAATACTGAAAATGGTGTACTGTAGAATCACAGGCTGCTGTAATTAGTTCATGGGTGGAATAAAAATATGGCAGGACTTTTACTGTCTGACCCCTGGACTTTTTACCTCTGCTTGATGGTAGGGACTTGAGACTTGAACATCTGTGACTTACTCCCATCTCTGAGCTTGGGTGATTCACATTGTGATCTTATGGAGAGATCAAAGTGTTGACTGAATAACAATATAACATATTTTCATCTGGTCTTTTTGTAATTGAATTTGAACTTCTGAATATGAACAGAATTCAACAATTTTAAAAGCAAAAAAAAAAAAAAAACACTCTTTGACTTAAATCTATTCCAGTGAAAATCCACAAAGACAATCAGTGACATTTGGTGTATGATTTGTTACTTGATTTTCTAGGTGTTGAGAATCAACCAGATGATCAGGAGAGTCTGAGGATTGTGCTGATCGGGAGGACAGGAAATGGAAAGAGTGCAACAGGAAACACTATTCTGGGAAGAGATGAGTTTCACAGCCAATCAAACACAGATTCAGTGACGACTGTGTGTGAGAAGGGAGTTGGTGAAGTTGATGGTCGATCAGTCGCTGTTGTTGATACTCCAGGACTCTTTGACACAACACTGTCAAATGATCATGTGGTGGAAGAAATCGTGAAATGTGTTTCACTGTCGTCACCTGGACCTCATGTGTTCATCATTGTGGTGAGTGTGGCAAGATTCACAAAGGAAGAAGCAGCCAGTGTAGATCTGGTAAAGAAGATATTTGGTCATAAAGCTGCTCAGTTCAGCATCGTCCTGTTCACTAGAGGAGACGATCTTGGGAATGAATCCATAGAAGATTATGTGAAGAGAAGTAAATCTGCAGAACTGAAGAAACTGATCAGAGATTGTGGAAACAGATTCCTGGCTTTCAATAACAGAGAAAAACTAGACAAAACTCAAGTAACTCGCCTGTTGAACATGATAGAAGAAGTAAAAAACACCAATGAGGGTCGATACTTCACTAATAGCATGTTTGAGGAGGCAGAGATGTCCATTAAAAAGAGGATGGAGGAAATAATGAAAGAGAGAGAAAGAGAAATGCAGAATCAGAGAGAAGAATTACAGGCTAAATATGAGATGGACATGAAAATCATGACGAAGAGACTCGAGGAAGAGAAACAAAGAGCAGACGAGGAGAGAAAGAAAATGGAGAATCAAATCAGAGAAAAAGAGGAAAAACTCAAAAGAGAGTTTGAAGAGAAAGAGAAAACAGAACAGAAGAAACGAGAGATTGAAGACCAGAAACGATCAGAAGAGGAAAAACAGAGAAGAGCTGAACATCATCAAAGAGTAGAAGAAATGAAGAGAGAGATTGAAAATCAAAGATCACAGTATGAAAAACTGAGAAAGGACAGAGAAGAAGAAGATAGAAAGAGAGAAGAGAAATACAGACAAGATCAAGAAAAGATGAAAAAAGAACAAGAACATATTATAGAAAAGTTACGAAAAAAACAAGAAGATGAAATAAAAAGGAGAGATTTTGAGGAGAAAAAAAGGATTGAACAAGAAGAGGAAGAAAGAAATGAATGGAAAATAAAATTTAAAGAGGCTGAAAATGGCAGAAAAGAGACTAAAGAGGAAATTAAACGACAGCAGAAAGAATGGGAGGATCAAAAGAGAAATGAGACAATAAAACGACAGGAAGAAGAAAGAAAGAGAAAAGAGAAACACGAAGAACAGCTGAGAGAAAAACACAAAGAACAGGAGAAAATGAAAGCTAAATTTGAAAAAGAGCGAGAAGATGAAAGAAAGAAGATTATGGAGGAGAGAGAAAAACAGAGAAGAGAAAGAGAAGAAAAAGAGAGAGAATATAAAAACAAGAAATCTGAAATGGAAAGACATTATGCACAAGTGGAACGAGAGAAAATGCAGGAGTGGGAGAGAATAAAACGAGCAGATGATGAGAGACGAGAAGAGAGATGGAAGAAAATCGTTGAAAATCTGAAACGAGAACAAGAAGAAAAGTTCATGAGAAGAGAAACTGAGAGAAAACAAAGAGAAGAGAAGGAGAGATATGAAATTAAAAATAAATATGAAGAGAATATAAAAGTCATGGAGAAGAAACATGAAGATGAAGCCAGAAAACAAGCAGAAGAACTGAATGATTTCAGAGCGAGAAATGAGCAGCACGTTCTGGAGCTCAAAGAGATGCTGGAAGAACGTCAGAGACAACGTGAAATACTGGACAAAATCTGTCAACTCATGGGGCTCCAGAAGGGGGTAATAACACAATTCTATGAATACTTAAATGGGGAACAAAAAGTTGAAGATCTCCATCAACGCCTGCAAGATGCAAAAGGAGATGAACTAAAAAAGCTACAAAAAGAAGTTGAAAAATTTTGGAAGGAATCAAATAAATCAAATTGTGTCATTATGTGACAGCTCAAATAATCATTAGGTCATTTATTCATAACAAGGCTGACGTGGATGAGTGTGGATTCATGGTCATAGCCAATATCTAATTTTGGGGGGGAGTTTTGGAAAAAAAAAATCTCCCATCCTAATTTTTTTTCCACCACCACGTCCCTTTAGGGGCTCCGTACGATATCTCTGCTTACACTGAACTTTCAGCGATGCAACTTTGCAGATACTGTTCATGCACCATCATTTATACATTTTTATGGGTACAATTCTAAACCTGAAAATTATTTATTAATCAACATTTTAGAGAGTTGTTTTACACACTGTTTCTCTAAACTCCCAAATTCACTTATTATAAAAGGAGATTTTAATATCACTTAAAACAACTCCCCTGACCGGTGGCCACGTCGCAATGTAAACTCTTATCACACCGAAGGCCTTTAGGCAGAAATTTGGAGTACTAGACATTTGGTAAGAGAAATTCCCTGGTTGTTCTTTCACATGGACTAATAAGGCATGTACCATTATGTTTCGTATTGACTACTTGTTAACTTTGTGTGCAGTTTACATAAAGAAGATATTTCTGTTAAAGGAACACACTGACTTTTTGGGACTTTAGCTTATTCAGTGTATCCTCCAGAGTTAGATACCCTTTTCTTCTCTGTGCATGCTGTAACTTTGTTTGACGCAAACATGGAATTAGCTTTCACTCTTATGCTGATGATACCCAGCTGTATATTTCTTCAAAACGAAACTTACCAACTTACAAAATTAATGTAATGCATTGCTGATATAAAAAAATTGGATGATTAGTAATTTCCGGCTACTAAATTCTGAAAAAACAGAGATTCTAATTATTGGACAAAAAACTTCCACACGTAACAGCCTAGAATACTGTGTGACACTTGATGGCTGCTCTGTTAAGTCTTCGTCGTCGGTAAGCAACCTGGGTGTGCTCTTTAATACTGATCTCTCATTTTAAAGTCATGTGTCTAGCATCTGTAGAACCGCATTTTTCCATCTTAAAAAATATAACTAAATTACGCCATATGCTCTCATTGACAAATGCAGGAAAATGAGTTCATGCGTTCATAACATCAAGGCTAGATTATTGTAATGCTCTACTGGGTGGTTGTCCTGCACGCTTAGTAAACAAACTTCAGATAGTCCAAAACGCAGCCGCTCGAGTTCTTACCAGAACCAGGAAGTATGACCATATTAGCCCAGTTCTGTCAACCCTGCATTGGCTGCCTATTAAACATCGTATACATTTTTAATTATTGCTGATTATTTTTATTACTTTTAGTACTTTTATAGATAGTCTATTGCGATCTCAAAACTCTGGCCAATTGATAATACCTAGAATATCAAAATCGACTGCTGGTGGTAGATTTAACACCAAAACTCTGGAACAATCTTCCTTACATTGTCCGGGAAGCAGACACACTCTGTCAGTTCAAATCTAGACTAAAAACACATATCTTTGGCCTAGCATAGACTTCCTAAATTTAAATTAGGCTGCATAGTTTAGATCAGCCGGAACCGGGAACACGTCCCGTAAATCCCGATGTACTTGGTACATCAAAAGAAGGATGGTGTCTACGATAATATCAGTTTCTCTGTTTATCCCGAGGGACCCTCAATGGTGGACCTGAGCCTGGATCCATCCCGACTCATACTTAAGTGCCGGCTTCATCGACACGACAGCCATCGGCACTGATCCTCAACATCTCGTCTCCAAACCGGCGTGATTACTTCGACATCCAAACAGATGGAAATGGACAATTCTTTTAATGTTTCGATCCAATTGGTTTTGTAATCACTGTTCTTTTGTTGGCCAGAGGAAAACTGGCCCCCGACTGAGCCTGGGTTCTCCCAAGGTTTGTTTCTCCATTCAATCACCTGATGGAGTTTTGGTTCCTTGCCACTGTTGCCTTGCTTTTGGCTTGATCAGTATTGTATTTCTTTCATGTTATCACTGTGAAGCTGCTTTGATAAAATCTGTATTGTAAAAAGCGCTATATAAATTAATGTGACTTGACTTGACCACAGCCAGTTGCTGCTTCTTTCAGCTGCTTCAGATAAGTTCTTTACTGTGCGACGAAACTCTTGGCCAATGAATCCGACGTCTCTGAGGAACCGGGTTGTAAAGTGTGCCACAAAACCTTGAAAAACCCACTTCCACTGGATAAACCTGGACTCTCCATCCTCGCAACCAATATTTCTGGTTGTAGGTTAGTGGTAGCAATCTCAGGTGGAAAAATAAGCCGTTGATCAATATCAGCATCTTCCAGTTGTCCTGGGCAAGAATTGACTTTTTCACTCACCTTATGAAGCTCTTCAGTTTACTTGCATTGGATAAGAGTAGAAGTAGACTCTTGTATAAAACTAAGTCTTTGTTTCTACATTTCTCATTAAACCCTTCAAATAAACTCGTGATTTATTGCCGCATTCGTCTTTTTTTCTTTTCTTCAAGCTTTCACTTTCTGTAGGTTAATTGAACTCCTCCCAGTTAAACTTACAGACACGAACAAGAATTTTAGATAATCTTAGTAGATTTATCTGTTAAGATATACTTTGATTGATTGACTACTTCTTGTGAAAGCGATCAATAAACATGAATCAATTAAATAAGGACCAGTCCATGGAATTATTTTAAAAGTTCTTGAATTATTAGCTAGACAACGTGCAATTTTTACATTGATTTAGGTTAGATTAGTAGCCTACATTTAAATTGAAGATAATGATAATGTTGTTGAGTAATAGCTATGTTTATTATATGCTACAAAAACTAAACATTCAATAGGCTAAATTTGAAACAGACATGCCGCAGGACCCGAGTCAGGTTAAAGATGGTAAAAAAAGAAGAAAAAAAAGAGAAAACCTTCGTGATATAAAACAACTGTAAGCATTATCTTTAAACTGTAAATTGTAATATCAGTATAAAATATAATTTTTTAATAATATGCATCATAATATGCATCAATATACATCATTATACATTATATGGAAAATAAGTTTGCATTGCAGCAGGCCTACAGAGCCATGCCTAATTGTACCACAGAGTACCGACCAAATTCCACTGTATCACAATTTTAATCACACGATTTAAATGAATACTAGTTTATTTGTTCAACTCATGATCGTCGTCAAATCACTTTCATGTAAAATTTATGAAATTAGGTTTTAATTCGAGATCCGAAGCTTCGTGAAACAACCCGCATTAGTTATACTCAATGTATGTAAAAGCCTTTCTATTCTTTAAACAGCGCTATTTAAATGGAATCAAATTAATAAAGCATTTTTTTTAACTGTTTAACAACTTGTGTTTGGGGAACCTCAGTGTTGTGGCGCTGGTGTTTCTGCCCGGACTGTGGAAAATGTAGCACCGCCGGAAATTCATTCCACGCTTCGACTCGTCCCGCAGTCAGTCGCGAGACGCAACAACACACTGAAATTATCGGAGAAGTTCGCAATTAAATCGTCTTTACGACACACAATACACTAATAATGTCTGACAACGAAGACAAGTGAGTTCTGAGCGCGTCTGCTACAGTCGTTTCTAAATGTTTACTGTAGTTTAAAGTTTGTGAGTGTGAAAACAACACGGTGATTTAATTTTTCTATAGTATCCTTATATCTATTTTAGAACCTAAACATGATAACTGTGAAATATATTACAATACGAGTAATTCCGTAACTCTCTGCAGCGTGATTTAGTACATCTTTGGTTTAGGATGTAACTGTTAGTTGACATCGTGAGATCGATCGTATTTGTTTGTTTGTTCACTTCAGTTTGTTTGTTTGTTGATCAGTTTTGATGACGGAGACTTCGATGATGTTGAAGATGAAGAGCCTCTGGATGATCTGGAGAATGTGGAAGATGTAAGGAAATATCTGTCTTTATTATATTCATATTCTCACCAATAGTGTTCTTTGACAAATATGTTAATATATTCTAATATCATATGTCAGGATTTCTGGCTGATATTTCATGTCAAAATCGAAAGAAATTCGAAAGCCATTGTATTTTGCATTATATAAATTACATTAAGACTATTTAGCTATTATAAGACTTGTTTTTCTTGCGTTGTTGTGACATTATTTACTAGACGTCATAGTACATTTGAACTCCTAAAAAATTAATAATACAGCATATATAATATGTATATATGAAGAGTTCAGATGCAAAAGCCTCTAAATGCCATTTGAACTTTTCTTCTTTAATGATGATTTTTATCAAACTTGTACATTTAAGTTCAGTAATTTCACTTAAATAACAATTAATTGGTAATTATCATTGCCATTTAAGTGAAATTACTGAACTTAAATTCAGTATACCCATATCAGAACCCAAATATCTGTTGGGTGATGGACTCTTAAGCAGGAGTCTGTTTGTTTATGTGTTTCTTAAATATCTCTTTATATTATTTTGTCTCAACTAGCCTTCCATGGCATCTAATATCCATTATATTTACTTTCAGAATTCATAATTTATTCTCTGTCATGTACTGTTCTGATTGATTAATAGCCAGTTGATAGCCTATATCCATAGTCATAGTTAATATTATTAGGAATTTTAAATTTTAAATTTTTTTTTTTATATATTTAGTTATTTGTATGCATGTTTTTAGTATTATTATTATTATTGTTTTTTTTTTTGTTTTTTTTTTGGTTTATATATATATATATATTGCATGAGTTATAGATGTGGAAATGTGTTGTCTAAGCTACTGGATGCCTTAAATTTCCCTTGGGATAAATAAAGTATCAACAACAACAACAAATATACAAGCTTGATAAAAAATCATCATTAAAGAAGAAAATTTCAAATGGCATTTAGAGGCTTTTGCATCTGAACTCTTCATATATAGTTATATAAGTATATATAATTATAAATTATTATTATTAGTATAATGTAAATTATGTACATTTTGTTATGTAAATATTAGTTTCTGTTGCTTTTGAGCTATAATCTCAGTCCCAGTAAGGTTGTTAAGTGCATTTTTTTAGGACTATTAGGATTTTTTTATTGTGACATTCTCACATCTATGAAGTACAATATGTTAATGTTAAATACAACAAGCTGCTATATATTGTAGAGACTTTGTTTGATTCTCTTAATCACATAAGTGAGTATTTGTGATGAGAATGGTGTTGTTTCTCTAGTTTTTCTGGCTCCTAGTCTTAGTTAATCAGATTTAGTCTCTTTTGACAGTCTTGTGTGTGTTTCTCATCTGACGTGTGTGTGTGTGTGTGTGTGTAGGAGGATCAGGAGAACGTCCAGATCCTGCCGGCGGGAGAAGGTCATCAGGCCAATCAGAAGAGAATCACCACACCGTACATGACCAAATACGAGCGCGCGCGAGTGCTGGGGACACGAGCGCTGCAGATCGCGTGAGTGACCTTTGACCCCTGTACACACAAACTCAGTATATATTTGACCTCAAAGTACACTGGCACGGTCTGTCACTCTAAACTCAAATGCACGTTTACTCAAAGTCTAAGCGATAAAACGTGCGCGCGCTGTTCGACCAATCATAGCGCTGGGTTCATTTCTTAAAGGTGTGGTAAAGTATGATGTCACTTTTCTAACTTTAGTTAGTGTGTAATGTTGCTGTTTGAGCATAAACAACATTATCAAAGTTACAGCAGTTTTTGTTGTTTTTACTGTTTTCTACGGGTAGTTTCTAGATATTTTTTCTTTTTCTAGATTAGTTGACCACCTCAAATTATGCAATGCAATATTAATCAGGAGAAATGATGTGAAACGTGTCTTTTACTGATTTGGGTCAAATTAAAAACTTTTTTTATTTTTTATTTTTATTTTTTTTCATTTTTTATTTTTTTTTTTTTATTGCAGAAAGGTAACATACAAACAATAACAGAACATAAACAAAAATAAATACATAAATAAATAATAGAGCATAGTTCACATTCAATTTTAACAAATAAGAGTATTACAAAACACCAGGGGTATTGAAGAGTGCATCATAGCATTGTAAATATTTCACAGATTTTTCATTTTTTAACAATCTTATTGAAGAAATGTAGGAATCAAAGTCATAACAAAATAAATTTAACATAAGCGATGAATTAACGAATTTTTGTTTATGTATGTGAAATTTTGCTAATAAGATAAAAAGGTTAACAATAAATTCCAGATCCTTATTGCTTTTATTTTCATAATACAAGGTGACATCCTTTAAAGTAAAGCAATAATTAGTATTCAACAAATTAAAAACTTTAGAAGAAAACTAGAATTGCTCAGTGACATCACTTCCTGTGTGTGACAGCATGTGTGCGCCGGTGATGGTGGAGCTGGAAGGAGAGACGGATCCGCTGCAGATCGCCATGAAGGAGCTCAAGTACGACACACACACACACACGACTGTTATTGACTCCAGGATCTGTTAGGGTGAAGCGCTTGGTGTAGAAAAGCGTCTGATAAATGAATACATGTAAATCATATTCAGAGTTCATGGTAGAGAACGGCTGCGTTATATATTACACACACAACTCTCAAATATCTGTTGGTGTGTGTGTTTCTCGTCTGTTGTGTTGGTGTGTGTGTGCTTGTTTAGTATTGAGAACATTGGACCCCATTGACTTTCATTATATGAACAAAACACACTCTCATAAATGGTGTTATTGATGTGTGTGTGTGTGTGTGTGTGTGTGCTGTCTCTCAGGAGCAGGAAGATCCCCATAATCATCCGCCGGTATCTTCCTGACGGCAGTTATGAGGACTGGGGCTGTGACGAGCTCATCATCACCGACTGACACACACACACACACACACACACACACACACACACACACACACACACACACACACACACACACACACACACAGAGATCGGTGTGTCTCATCAGTGTTTACAGCGCAGGTCTCCTCATGTGTGTGTTCTGCTGTGTTTATAGTGGAGGTTTGGTTTCATCCTGCAGGTCTGGTGATCGTCCACATGAGGGCAGCACACACACACACACACTTCACTCTGAATCTCCTTATTTAATGTCTATTTGTGTTTTATTGATGCCAGATTAAACCTTTTTGTAGTAAACGCCACTTTCTGTTGTTATCTTTGTCGGTGTGACACTACTGTCATCAGGGGATTCACAATGAACACTTTAATTGTTTAGTTGAGTGTTTATAAATTAAGATATTATATATTAAGATATTGCCACTAAATAATTTAGTACTGAAGTTTGTAAACGTAAGGGTTTATATGCAGAACGAGTTGTTTCTGAGTAATAGTATAAAGAGGACAAAACTAAAAGTTCAGGAAATGAAGGAAACGTCGATTACTGTCTTTAAGATATAATTATCTTAAATTTATCTTATATTTATTATCTTATAATTATATTAATTTTCGTATTGTTGACATTAACCTTGATGCAGAAATATAATACATAGTTTATAAAGTTTGCGTACTGAAATAGGTTTTGACTAGAGCGATGTGATCTAAATGTAAATATGTAAATGTTTTCGCTGTTAAGTGACAAAATCAACAGTTTGAGGTGAAACTCGTGGAGGCTCGTTTCCAAAATTCAGTTGTGATTTAATATCTCGCAATTCTGAGAGAAAACAGTCCCAGTTTGAGGATAACTGAATTGAAAGATAATTAGTGCACAGTATTCAGTGAATAATACTCTAGTACTTCTGAACAGATTCGCAGTGGCTGATGGGAAATGAATCTTGATACCCCTCATGATACGTGGAGTCATGATGATACAGTGACAGAAAACTAGCCTTGTTTCAGATTCTGGGTGAGACTCGTCCATCTCTCTCTCTCTCTCTCATTGCACTGTTTAGGAATGTGCAAATCCTGCTGCAGTGTGTGTGTGTGTGTGTGTGTGTGTGTGTGTGTGTGTGTGTGTGTGTGTGTGTGTGTGTGTCTTTGTATCCAGTGAAACTGCAGGCCAGTCCCCCCTCCTCTTCTCTCGCTCAGCCAGAGCTGAATGAGTCTCTTTGTTTAACCAAAGTATCACACAGATGATTAAATCAGGGGAATTAGAAATCAGCTTCAGTTCTCAGCACACACACATACTGGACTGCGCACACACACATATTAATGCAGAAATGCAGAGGATGTTGAGATATGCACTGTCATTAGTTTCAGCCAATCAGAGTGAACCTGCAAGCTCAGATGCATGTCATAAAAACACACTGGTTTCATTAATAATCATAAACATATACAGCACATATTTCAAACATCAGTACTATATTGTTGTCAAATGACTTCATTATTTTGCATGTTTAATTCAGTTATGGTAATGGTCAAGTCAAGCATGTTGCATTATTATACAATAGGCTATCTTATGCAGTGTGTGTTCTGGAGTTTGGCTAATAATTTTTGTTTTCCCAAAACATGCATTTTTAAACTTTGTTGTTGGTTAATTAGGTTTATTCATGAAAAAAATAATGTTCTTTTTAGAGTTATAAGAACATTACTTTAACTTTGAGATAACGCTTTACTAACCTCATGACTCGGATATCATTTAACCAGTTATGGATTCAGTGCAAAATAATTATGTATGTGGATATATACAAACTGAATAATGATGAAATATATTGACAATTATAATAGTAAAGTTGAAAAATATATGCTTTTGTAATGTGCTATTCTGAAAACTGACGTGACTTCTGTCACGATCTTACAGGTAGATAAGAAAATTAATATTCACGCGCGTGTGTGTGTAAATGAGGACTCGTTTGTACAGAATGCAGCTTTATTTAAAGTGAGGGAAGTTAGTCACTGCTCTCTTCTATTTACACTGATAAAGAAAAACAACACTTTTACCCACCACAGAATTACACGACAAAAGTTTCCAACATCAGAGTAAAACGCTACTGATAAAAAAAAAAAAAAAACGAACAAAAACAACAAATATAAATAATATTTTGTAATATATAACAGAAATTTTGTTTGTTTGCTTCGGTTGTTTTTGAATAGTACTAATAAAGAGGGCGAAAATTATATTTAAAAAAAAAAAGTATAGTCTACCAAAGGGGAAAAAAAAACATCGAATAAACATCGTTTGACTTTATGAAATAATACCGCCGTGTTTTATTGATAGGCATCAAGGTAATGTTCTGAAACGGACATTATGTGTATTCTACAAAATACAAATCTATTTCAAACTCGCATTTCAATGTGGGCATAAAATATGCGAATTGGCGAATAGATGAAAGTTCGCGCCCTGAAAAAAGTATCACGTGATTTAATTCGAATTTATCAGCGATTATTAACCGTTTCCGATGGACTGAGGCACTAGCGGTGTTAGCTAAACAAAATAACAGCTAATTGTACAGCGGAAACTCATAATCACGTTAATTCCGATGTGAAGAGACATATTACAATACAGTAACGTTACTCCGTTTGTGTGTTTGGAGTAACATCGTTTCGACACGTTTATCGCGTCCAGGCACTGATATTTACACACGCTGAAAGTCATAAAACACAAATGTCATTAACAAACACTAGACAGTGGTGAAGACTTTTCAGTGTAGTTATGGCAACACAAGAGTAACAACAATAGAAAAGATTACAACAATAAAAACACGTCATTATTTGTCCAAGATAAAAACAATATGGCCTTATTTTGGTTAATAAAAAGAGATTATTCATACATACAAATAAAAAAAACATCAACAACAACATATGGATGTACAGGTAATAACATCAGGGTGTAAGTTTATGTGAATGAATGTATTGGAAGAAGTTTGTGATCTGGTACACTGATGGCAAACCACACAGAGTTTAATAACTACGCCCGTTTAAGTTGCTCATTCATTTGAATGTTTTGGTCTCAGTACTTTGGTAATGTGTCCTCATGAAATACCACTGGTGTCAAATCGGCGGACGAGCAAGATCTCTGTGAAACGGGTCATGATGGTTTATCTAATCAGCCTGAGGCAACGTGAGAATATGTTTTCCCTGCAGATCTCCACACGCGTTGTTTTCTGTGTGTGGATTGTGGTGCAGGCGAGTGTTTTGATGATTTTCGGTCACATACACACTTTAGTTTGGACCTTCGGTGACTGGAAATGAAACGAGAGCGTCACGTCACCTCCGTAATGCGCGTCATGGTCGGGATAGCGTGGTGTAGACGGGCTGCTCCCAGTGAGTCGGGCTGTGCGACTGCGGCACGGATCCGGGGTCGGGGATGGCGGTGTATAGGGGCCTCTGCGAGGGGCCCATGTAGGAGAAGGCGGAGTACAGGCCCGAGGTCTGGCTGGAGTGGGCGTAGTACGAGCCGGACGCCTGGTGCTCCGCGTACTCCGCGAACTGCGCACGCGAAGCCAGTGAGGGAAAGGCAGAGCTGTAATGCGGCAGGCTAAGAGGAGTGTACGTTACGTGCGAACCGCTAGCTGTGGCGGCATCGCTAGCGAAGTGCGTCTCGCTCTTAATCTGCGTTTTCCCTCCATCCGAGCCCAAGTGCTGCTGGGACGGCAGCTGTTGTTTGGAGAGCCATGCGGTGGAGTGACCGCTAGCGGCCGCTAGAGCGCTAGAGATGCCGTACGCGTACGGTGATGCCGAAGACCCCGCGCTCGCCGCCTGCGGGTGCCCGTTCGGCGGCAGGTACTGGTCGAACTCGTTCACATCGAACGGCTCCATGTTGGCCATCACGTCGTGGCTGATCTCACCGATGTCCACGTTGCCGAAGTCGATGTGCGGTTTGCCGCCGCCGGCAGCGGACGAGGAGGCGGAGCTTCCATCTGGTCCCGCCCCCAAACCGCCCCGGGAGGCTCCGCCCTCGCGCTTCCCCTCGCCAGGTTTCCCGCCCTGCAGCTCCGTCTTCGGGGTCGTAGGGGGTGTCGGGGGGCTGTGACTCTGACCTGGAGAGAACAAACGAAAGAGGTTTAGGGTACGTTTACACTTATCACGGAGAAGTTTTTCCTTTGAGTTTACAAAGACGTACTACAGACCATTGTCAAAACAATCCCTGAATTGTTATAAATCATTCTAATATGCTGATTTGCTTCTTAAAGGGATACTCCACCCAAAAATGTAAATTCTGTCACTCACCCTCAAGTTGTTGCAAACCTTTTGAGTTTATTTCTTCTGCTGAACACAAAGGAAGATCATTTGAAAAACGATTGGAACCAACCAGTTGTTTGGCACCATTGAATTCCATAGTAGGAAAAAAAAATACTATGGAAGTCAATGGTGCCAAACTTCCAATCGTTCTTCACAATATCTTCCTTTGTGTTCAGCAGAAGAAAGAAACTCATACAGGTTTGCAACAACTTGAGGGTGTGTAAATGACAGAATTTTTGGGTGAAGTATCCCTTTAAGAAACCTTTTTTAAAAACAAGTGGTCTTCTCTCAACACAGATGCAATTCATTGACTGGCCACTAGAGGCTCCAAAAGAGAGTCAATCCCATAGACCCCCATGTTAAAATACACAACTTTACAGCAGAAAAACATGTTTACAGCCTGGTGCAAAAAGTGGGTTTGGTCTATAAAGCTAATTTTGCCATTCATGACGACTGTGAGGGGGTGAATATTTTTACAACTCATACATTTAAATTATATTGGTGGTTGAAGAGATTTCCCAGTTCTATGTTAAGCGCTTTAAGTACCAAGAAAATTTTTATGTAAATGTCTCAAATTATTAATTATTATTATTATATTTAGCCTTAAAGTTCTGCATAATTAAGGGTGTGGCCACTTGAGTGACAGGTGGATTGCCACTGATGTCACTAGCCGTTTGTCTGCTGTCTGTTAGCGTCACCTCACCTGAGCTAATGTCTGTTAGCGTCACGACACCTCACCTGAGCTAATGTTCCTCACCTGAGCTAATGTCTGTTAGCATGACCTCAAATCAGCTAATGTCGATTAGCGTCACGTCACCTCACCTCATCTAATGTCTGTTATCGTCACGTCACCTCATCTCAGCTAATGTCTGTTAGCGTCATGTCACCTCACCTCAGCTAATGTCTGTTAGCATCACGTCACCTCACCTGAGCTAATGTAACTCACCTGAGCTAATGTCTGTTAGTGTCACCTCACCTCACCTCAGCTAATGTCTGTTAGCGTCACGTCACCTCACCTCAGCTAATGTTTGTTAGCGTCACATCACCTTACCTCAGCTAATGTCTGTTAGCATCATGTCACCTCACCTCAGCTAATGTCTGTTAGCATCACGTCACCTCACCTGAGCTAATGTTTGTTAGCGTCACCTCACCTGAGCTAATGTCTGTTAGCGTCACGTCACCTCACCTCAGCTAATGTCTGTTAGCGTCACTTCACCTCAGCTAATGTCTGTTAGCGTCACGTCACTTCACCTCAGCTAATGTCTGTTAGCGTCATGTCACCTCAGATAATCCGCTTCTTTGCCCATTTTCTTTTATCCAGGAGTGACGCGTGGCCAAGATGCCGACGACCGACTCCGCCCACTTTGGGCTTCAAAAATTCTCTTTAGAAACGCACAGGTGATGTCACAAATAAAAATAGAGCGAAAATAGCTCATATGTTTGTGAAAAACGGTAATTGGTTCTTTCAGGATTCATTGACGAATTTCTAAGTATCACTCCCGGAGTTATTAAAATTTCTTCTCTCACTAGTGTTGGCGGTGAGCTCACCTGTGGCGTGCGGGTGGTGTCCGTCAGCCAGTGGGGAGCCCGTGACCCCGGCGTGGGTCACCTCCAGGTGCAGGCTCTTGTAATGTGATTGGCTGTGGCTGACCTCGCCCTCGGAGTGACCGTCGCCCTCAGAGCTCGACCCCGGCTTGCCGTTCTTGCGTCGACGAGGCTGGTATTTGTACTCGGGATAGTCCTTCTTATGCTGCTTCCTCAAGCGCTCAGCCTCCTCGATGAACGGCCGCTTATCCGTCTCGTTCAGCAGCCTGAAACACACGCAAAAAAACACATCGTAACGCTATTTCAAGGTGTCATCGTTAATTCTATATTTAAGTACTGAGTAATATTAATCAACTACATGTACTTACTAGGGTTAGAGTTTGTTTGAGGGTTGGTTGCATGTAATTATGCATAATTTACTGTTATTATGGTAAGTACTTCTGTAACATGAAGCGTTAACAAGAACGGTAACACTTTATTACTTTTTTAAAAAAAAAGTTTATAAAAAAAATGGTACTTTGACTAAAAAACATGACAGATGAGAGAAATCTGTCCTGTAACCTGATCACTGGACAAATAACAAAGTAACACAGCATCTCAATAAACTCTCTCATAAGAAATGAATCTTTATCAGAGCTTTTTAAAACACAAGTTAAGCAAGGAATGAACAGTAATGCCACCTGACTCTGAGATTATTGAACTGTTGAATGCTGATTCTGGGTCAGATTTCTCCTCTGAGAGTTTAACACGATCAGATACTCCAGCTGGTGTATGAACCAACTCTGAGCGCTGTGACCTGTTTTATATATATAAGATATATGCTGTCATCTGTAAAGCGAGACTCTTTCACTAGTTTAGTTGCGAAATCCTCCTGAAAATAACCCGTTTGAGATAAATGCCCTCTTGGCGTTCCCGCTCGGGTTAATGGCGTGTGTTTTCCACAGCAGCTCCTGAAGGGATTTGTCCCTCTAATCTGGCATGTTGAAGGAATGATTATTCTGAGCTAAAGCCCCTGAGAAACTCAGAGCCAGAGGCCGGACAGCAGTGAATATGAGGATCTAGACGAGAACACGTTACACTGACAGCATTACAGCGATTAACTTTCTTGAGATGCACAATTGTTTTGAATACATTTGCATCATTTTTACGGTTAAATATGATTATTTTTAAATCCTTTTTATGTAAAGCACTTTGAATTAATTGCTGTAGCCTCTAAATAAAGCTTTGCCAATGAATGCATGGTAAAATTAATTAGTGACACACAGTGATGTTTTTCCCTCACCTCCAGAGTTTGCCGAGTGTTTTGCTGAGCTCGGCGTTGTGCAGGTGCGGGTACTGATCCGCCAGCTTCCTGCGCGCGGCCTGCGCCCACACCATGAACGCGTTCATCGGCCGCTTCACGTGCGGCTTGCTCTTGCTGCCCGAGTTCACGCGCACGGGCATGGGCACGAGCGTCCAGTCGTAGCCGTTGAGAACCTGACTGACCGCCTCGCGGATGCCGATGGGGAACCGGTCGTCTTCTTCATCGGACTTCACCGAGACACCGGAGACTCCGGCTCCATCATCCCCGACGCCCGGGATCTGAGGCGGCTGCCCGGGGAGAGGGGAGTCGGGGCCCCCTGGGGCTCCTGAAGAGTGACCGGGAGACATGGAGTGGCCGTCGTCCGAGACCCCGGGGCTCATCTCCACCTCCGACATACTGTGCTCCTCCGCCGACATCGTGCTCTCGCTCTGCGGACACAGGGGTCTTCGGTGGGTCTAGTTTTTTCCCAAACACGACCTCTGTTTTATTCTCTAAAAACTATAGTATTTTCTGGAAAACAATTGCCTATAGGTCAAGTGTTATTATAAGTCATCCAGTGAAACTTTAACACATTTCTTGTCATACACGCTCGGTTCTGTCAGAATGAATCCATCCGCTGTCTTCCTCAGGAAGTAGATCGGCTGATAAACCTGCAAAAGTCAAACACAAAGGTCGTTTTATTTAAAATTATAGGTGGCCTGGAGTTTGTTACATTGTCATGTTTCTGTAAAGCATTTCTTCACAGTACACAATAATATTATTTTCGTGCTTTTATACATTTATGTTCTGTCAACATTGCGGGAAAATCAATGTTTCTAAAACTTCAATTGTTCTTGTCGTGATTAGAACGATATAAAGGTTAATTTTATGTAAGGTACATCATCATATAACTAATTGTTACTCACAAACATTTTATTAAGATTTATTTGTAAATCCCAAGAATGTTAAAGTAAAAATAACATCATATGAATGTTCCAAAAACGTTTTCCCAACATCACGATCATATAATGTGATGTGAACGTTCTAAATATGTCATTTAAAGAATTCTAACACTCTGAACGTTCCCTCCCGCACAACCTCTTCGCTGTTCACTCAAACGCCTTGCGAACAAGAAAAAACCTGTTCGGGGAAAAGTGCTACAAACACTGAGGCTTTGACTTTATTTAGAATTGGTCTCTTTTTCCAGGCCAATCAGACGGTGGCGTCAGTTCGCCTCGGTCTGCATGTGTGTGTGTGACTGAGTGTGTGTGTGTTATTTTAGCTTCACTCCTGCTAACAGCTACTGTTGAAGGTTTGTCGGTTTGTTCAAGCTCCCGGGAGAGAAAGTGCTGGAATAATACCGGCTTCATTCCGCCTCGCTGCTGGATAAACACGGAGCGCCGCTGAATTACACAGTGTTTGTTGGTGAAAGCACAAGCGACGACTCATAACCAGCAGGAAAATAAGGAAAATCAGAGCTGTGTGTTTAGGAAAACCCAAGCAACCGGTCCGACATAGTGAATAAACGCACGCACGGCAAATATGACATTGCGCCTTTTATTGGTCTGATTATTAAGATCGATCCAAGTTTTAAAATCAATAACCTGGTGTTATAAGCTAGGTTATTGATTTAAAAACCTCTATATCCAGAGCTGAGCTTGAATGAATCGCATCAGCCGACACCAGTGTTAATTAAGATCAGACACAGGTGACTTCACTTCAGATAACAGATTGATTTCATATTTAATTCAGTCCCATTTGTTAGGGTCACGGGAAATCACATGATTAATAATTTATCAGATTAACTCGTGTGTGAAGTTGAAGTTTCTTTGGGGCAAATCATATTTAACACTTTTTGTTTTAGTAACATTTAATCGGCTAATTGCGCTTCTGGATTTGCTCTCACATTTCCGAACAACGCGCACATAGAAACTTTCTGTTTATTAATGTTAACCACTTAACTCTTTACCGCAGCTCATGTTTTGCATAACTTTTATTTGTTCAAATGTGATTGAGTTCATCTTTGGCTGGAGTAGGGCGGATCATAACGCCTGGTTTGGCAATAATTTGCCCCTAATTCACTCATGCCAAAACATTTCCCAAATGCCACAATTAAACAAATGTGCTTAGATTTGACAAATATTAGATTCGACCTTCAATTGATTCGAAATTCTATTGATTTGATGTGTTTACTGAATAGTTTGGGCGATAAAGCGTAAGTTTTCTTCACAATATTGGAAAGCGACAATTATTGCTGAAAGAAATTTGTACTTTATAATTAAGCAGGTTACACGAGTATTTGACCAGATATAGCTATGATTGCTCACAAATATACAGGTAAAACAGAACATTACAGGGTACATTTAGCCTAAAAGAAGATTATAACACAGATTTATCAAATAATTGCAAATACGTAAAATGCTAGACCAATGCACTCGTATCAAATCAGAGTATTCAAATTGTACTAAAATATCGAAGTGTAGGCTATTATATCTGGAGTAGTTTGAATAGATTAAGCCGTTTTTCCCAAGTTAAGACAGATTAACTCAACACGTCTCGCATTTACTCAATCACGCAATTCTCGAAATGTAGGCTACACCTCGTGACACCAACTTTCTTAAATAATCGCATGTAGCCTATATTTTAATCCATTTCGATGAGAAACTTTGTTATCCCTCAAACTTCAGCAGACATAAACCGAACAGAAAACCAATTCAAAGGAGTAGCCTGTGCAGCGAATAAATTCAACGCGAATCATATTTATTGATAATAATCATAATAATAAAAGCGTAATTTCTCCGTTTAGACATTGCATTGGCGTATATCCCCATGCACAGAGAGAGTCAGTGAGAGAGAGAGAGAGAGAGGTCTTACTGCACTGGTCGCAGGTCGCCCGCCCAGCGCGAGATCGGTCCGTGGTTCAGCCCCCTCGCTCGCGCTCTGAATGCCTGCTCTGTGTCGCGCGCCGGGGCTTAAAGAGCCTCGTTGTGTGAAGAGCGAGAAAAAAATCAATTCATGGAAAAAAATCTCTTAAAGGAGCAGCAGAGCCCCATCAAGTCCTCCTCTGATTGGCTGCTGGAGTTCGCCCTGGAGTTTCTTCTCTCAGCGGAGGGCGGTGATTTCTGCTGTCATTTTCAGCCGATCAGATTCTGATCGCACTTTTTTTGTGATATTCAACTTTTTATACATTCATTTGGAAGTTCATATTCTTGATCTAGTTCTCAGTTAGGTCAATATATTTGTCTTTGTCATAATAAAACAATTTCTATTTGGAATCTGTCACTTTAAAACACGAATATTCACATGATTCTTATTCCTTTTTATAGGCCTAATAATAATAATGGTTAAGGTGTAATTGTATATTTTTAAATACTGAGTAATATTAATTATGTACTTACTATATGGTTAGGGTTTGGGTGTGGGTTAGCATGTAATTATGCATAAATTACTGTTATTAATAAGTTAAGAACATGTAGCCTAGGACACTGTAAAAAAAATGTTACCATAATAATGATAATAATTTGTTAAAGCCTATTTCACAATATAAGGGTTAGAGTTGTTGAACAGCTAATTAAATCAAAGTTAAAGTAAAATAAATAGGCCAACCTAATTAGAATATATATATATATATATATATATATATATATATATATATATATATATATATATATATATATATATATATAACAATCAAAATACAATTTTATTATATTTGTTTAACTATTTGTTTAAATTCGAGAAACCCGCGTGAACGTGATCATTAACTGAAAATGTCAAGGAGACGTCCAAAATACTTTAGCTCAAAGTTGTTTGGGAAGCACTGCGATATAATAAGTTATCAAATTTGTAATTTTACAATGCCGCCGCGCGCTATATTTGGGTTTTATCATGCCTTGCCGTTCACAGGTGGTCGTTCATTAGTGTCGGCGTGTCCCGCGGGTGCTGGGGTTTCTCTTTATTAGGCTCTGCCCGATCACACTGGCCTGTTGTTGGCCCGGGTGTGCCTCAGGGTGAAGCAGAGGTCCTCCACGGCCCCGTCACAGCTCGCGCGCCCCCGGCTCGACGGGACTCTGCGCACCTGCTGTGCGCAATAACTGTGCGCGTGGAGCAACAGCACAACTGTAGGATTTCAGCTCGCAAACCGCTGGATGTGCATCAGGACAGCCCTTCAGAATGTTCTGATGCATCGGGCCGACATTAGATTAATTGGGACACTTTTCCCCAGTGATCTCAATAGCGAAGAATGTCTCAATTAACCTGAATTCCCTCACCAGACTATTCAGAAATAACGCTTCCAAAATTGGGTCAATTTTGCTTCCCGAAAGAACATTTCTTAAATAAGCTTTTTTTTTTTCTTAGTGTGAAGAACATTTAAAAAATCGAAATAACTTTTGATTCTCCTCTATAAAAATAAAGGTTCTTTATTGGCATCGATGGTTCCATTTAGAACATTTAAAGGAACTACAAAAGGTTATTTTGACTATTAAAATGTTTTTCAACTAAGAAAAAATTGTTCTTTAAAGAACTGCTGACTGAATGGTTCTTTAGAGAACCAATAATGTTTTGTTTTCTTCTGTGGCATCACTTAGAAACCCCCTTTATTTTTTTTAGGATGCTAAAAGTTGCTAACAAATGCTAATAAATAACCTTTATTTTTAGGGGTATATATGGCTTGTACATTTTTAAAAAAATATCTTCTAAATAAGTTAGAAACTGAAATTGTCCTGTGTGAGCTATTTTTATCCACCATTACGCCTTATTTTTTATTTAATTTTTTGTAGAATAGTCAAACATGCAGTTGATGGTGCGCGCGCAGGCCTGTGACCCTCGCGCGCGCGCGCAGCGCTGGAACGAGCTCCTGCCGCGTCGTGTAGTGCTATGCGTTAGTTTTATAATCGCATCACATAAACACACAGAGAGAGCATTTAACACGTTTAAACAGAAAATATAGCAAGACGAGAAGCGAGGCGAACGACGGGCCAAACGCACACAAACACGCGCGCTGTTCTGGCCAACAATAACCTCTTGTATTTGCAGCTCGCGACGCCCCCCCACCCAAGCCAAAAAATCATTGCCTTTTTCATTATCCATGAATGTTGACTCTGATAAGGGGATCCTGACCATGAGAGCATCTCTCTGTCTCGGTTTCTCCTTTCTTTGCGTCCTTTGTTTTATCTCAGGTGAATTGTAATCATGTGATCAAACGAACACCCCCCTTCCATTACCCTCTTAAATGAAAAAATGAGGAACAAAAAGCAGTTCTGTGTATATAAAAAAAGAAAAGAAAAGAGAAAAGACGTGTGTCTCCCTTTAGAGCGTCTTTTTCTCCGTGTCCTTCAAACGTACACATATAGAGGGAATGAGCGCGTCGCGCGCCGCGTGGACGGAGCGGACCGAGGCCTGCGCGAGCGAGCGAGCTTTGATGTGAGTTTCTGCCTGTTGATCTCAGGGAAAAGTTTGGGAAGCAGGGAAGCGAGGAGACACTTCGAAGTAGCGCAGTCTCCATGCGTTATAAACACGCAGAGCTGGAGATGTGTTTATCCTCAAGGAGCATTTCACGGGGAAATCGGGGGTTTTGAATTGAATTGAATTGAATTGAATTGTAGCTGTTAAACTCATTGCTTTTTTATTTGTCTTGATGTGTTATTTTTGATGGTCGTGATTGAGAACTGGAAGGTTTTATTGTATTGCATCTTGTTCTGCGTTTCCGTATCACGTCAGATCTCGTTTTTCTCCACGGATCTTCTGTAAATTAATTTGGCGCTAATGTCAATTGTTTTGTTTCACGTTAATTATTTGACATGATCACAAATGATCAGTTTAGTGTTATTCGTTCTCTGCAAGGGCTTCTGTTTAATTATACATCAGAGACATAATAATAATTAATCATTAATAAGTTGCCTATTTGTCGTATAGTTCAGCAATTGAAAATATTATTTTAAATTATTATAGCCTATTATTATTTATTCAAATTAATCGAAATAAGCTAAGGTGCGCGAGATGCTCGTCATCACCTGGACTAATTAATAATAATTAACGCGCGCTTTGCTTTTTCGTGCATCGGAATCCTTGCAAAATACAGCTAAAATACTGTAAAAATTATCATTATCGAATATTATGTATAATATTAGAATTATCCTGTTCGCATTTCCATTACTAATTCATCCTAAAAATCAAATAGACAATTGGCAAAAAATATTATTGTTGTTATTATTATTATTATTTCGTAGTTGTTTTGTAAAGAGAAAACAACTTTTCACTCTCGACGACTCATAATTTCCATAAATTTGTTGAACGTGTTTCACTTCATGTTCAATCGGTTTTTATTATATAGGCTATTTTTCATTTTTATTAAACGTCATCTGCATGAAGAGAACCAGATAAGTATAATTTTAAAGCGGGATATATGACGCTGGTTTATTATTAATTAAGCGCGTCTAGTCGTGCGGTAATATGATTAGTTATTTAATCGCGAGATTTATAATAATTCGCTTCCAGAGTGAATCCCGTTAAAATTGCGAGCGCGCGTGAATGATTTAGGCTGAATAACCAAACCAAACAATGTAAATGTGAGAGCGTTGTGTGTGTGCGGTAATTAATAATCTGTTTTACAACAGCGCATTTAAATGAAGTGGATTATTGAACCCGAGAGAATGAACAGATTCAGTTGTGGCAAACTGATGCTCTCAGCAAACTAAAACATTTCATTCTGAGCACACTTAATTGGTTAAGTGTGTGATTGTGTGTGTCTGTGTGTGAGTGTGTGTGCAGCATGTGACAGTGATGATGCTCATGGTTGCCGTTGGAGATGCTGCCTGGGATGTCAGGAGAAGATGTTTGTGAGTGTGGAGGTCAAAAGGTCAATATGAGGACATGATTGTCTCATGACTGGGTTCCACACACTCACACACAACCACACACACCTGATGACATTGGGTCTGCATGTGTGTGAGTTTCTGGCACAACAGGAAGTGTAGTGAACAAAAGACATGGAGTTGGAGAGAGAGAGAGAGAGAGAGAGAGAGAGAGAGAGAGAGAGAGAGAGAGAGAGAATTCCTCATTTTCCTCTGAGAAGGAAAGGTTTGGCCTTTTGTCCGCTGTGGTGATGATGATGATGATGATGATGTGAAGATTCCCGGGGGAATTCCTGCATGTGGATGAAGCTGTGCTATAGAGGAAAGGTCAGACTCTGATGGGATGATCTCATGTTGTTTTCCTCACTGAAGCAGTTCCTGTGGGCGGAGTCTCCGCTTCACCTGTACACACTCACCTGTCTGACTCACACACTCTGATAGGCCTGAGAAACACACTGCAATTTTCAAGTTAGAAGGGATTCAACTCATTTTTAGGTCAGTTTATGGAATTTTTTTTTTGAGTTGAAACAACTTAAACAGCAACAGTGGATTGTACTTTATTTAAGGAAACAACTCTTTTACAGCGATTGTGACTATATAATTGACTTTTAAATGAATTACTGGTAATTAATGAATCTATTCTGAATATTAATTTATTATTTATTTTTAAAATGTTGTTTATTTCCTATTATTATTATTATTATTATTATTATTAATAAATAATAAATTTAATTTATTTTATTTAATAAAAAATTTTATTACTTTAAATGTATACTTTTTAATTAATTAATTACTTAATCTTTCAATTAATTCATTAATTATTATTATTTTTTCCATTACTTGTTTTTATTAGGTGATGTTTTTACCTACTATGATGACCATGATAAAAGTAAAATATTACAGGCTTTCTGGCCACATATGAACAGTAAAACGACTAGGAAATTTCAATAAATGAAACGTGAAAAAAAAAACTTATTTTGGCCATCATAAATATAAAATGTTCATTCAATTACAAATAAAGTTCTGGTTCTTGAATCTGATTGGCTGAGAGCCTTTTCCAGACCGCGATATTCCACATATCACGAGCAAGAGCAAACAACATAATTTTACAAATATTTA